AATACCTCTCACAGCTAGGCTGTGGTGCATAGCTGTATAGCGAGTAATTGTTAGAACTATTAGCAATCAATTGATCAACTAGGTCGCCGTGACGAACCACCGGACGAGCGCAAAATAGAAAGCGGGTGGAGGGGCAACCGAGTGATATTCCGTGCGCGAATCAAAGTATAGTAAGTAAACGAACCTTTTGTTAGTGTCTCGGTGCTATATAGGCTTGGGACTTTATTGAATTTGGAGGTCTGAGGGTGCTGTGGTTGGTTTTTATGGGATAGGTGATAATTGGGGAAAGAGAGTTAGTGAGACTTGGTAGAAGGGCATGCTTTAATATAATTCGGTCTGGATCCTATACTACATCCATTGAAGAACTACTAATTAACTAGCTGGCCGGTATTCATATATTTCCCGAGAGAAGTTTCTTCCATACACAGTTCGAATCGTTATAATGATTGCGAGCATTAAACCAGATTCAAATCGAACCAACAACCGACCCTATATAAAATGTGCCGTGGTGCACACTACCTTATACTAAGTATTTTCGATCGACTATTAATTCTAGTTACTACTAAGTCTTTTGAGGAGCATAAACAAAACATCAACATGGGTCGGCGTGTTTGATAATAAGGAATATCGATGCTCTAGGGTACATACCGGCCAATCATGTCCAAAGAACAGTATCTGACAAAATTATTAGTCCCCTTGCCTTTAGGTGGCATGACCCCAGGGTAATTAATGCTTGTCAATCCAATACAACCGCTTTTGTTTTTTCACCGAACCAACTTCCCTTCCTCCTCCTCCTCCTCCTCCTCCACTTCCCCTCTTCATCAAATTCCTTGAGCTCCTCTTATCCCTCCACCACCAATCAAAACTCTACCTAACAACTCAACCACAGCTCCATTTCGAAACTGAGGACGACTCTTGGAAAGTGCTTACCCCCAGGCATACTTCTACACACCACAACCTACATATGAGTCTATAGAATCATACTAACGGCTGGGCCCCCACGTATCAGCCCCACCCCATATGTATGTGCAGCCAATATTAACAGCGAGGGATATTATATCGATTTACGACCCATCACAACCACCAAGAAGCCCCGATATAAGACTCCGCGCGGAGTCCGGATCGTCGGTCAAATGGACGGATCCGGCCGCCAATGATCGGCGGAGTGTGTGTCTATGTACGACATCGGGCGGCTAGCTAGTTACAGTGTGGTGAGTCACTTGGGAGGATAAGGTTTTTTCTCTGTTTTCATTTGCTTTTTGTTCCTTGCAGAAGAAGAAGGAGGAAGGAGGCCGAGAAGGACGGAGGTACATACTGACTGGTAAGTTCGGATATCGATCTGGTCGGGCTGTGTAGGGTGTGCACCCGAGTACATACTCTATGCGGATCGCAGAAGAATAGAGTATTTGATGAACACGATCTCTGTTCGTGGAGGTAGTTAAGTGCACGTGTTTGCGTTATTGGGTATCATTATCCAGCATGGATGTGACACAGCAAATTTGAGAAGTCGAGCATCTGGTTACGGCTCTGGCGAGTGGTAGAGGAGAGCTTCTCATTTCCTGCGGTGACCAAGATCTACTACGATCAACATCTCCAATCGGACACGATTCACAATACCAAACCACCGAGTGATACAGCATGATGGCACTTAATTTCACAAGTAGTTAGCGCCATAGTTACATAATCAATCGGTATCTCACTCGGGGCTGCGGGCTAGTCCCTGCGGCGGGGGAGGCACAGAGCGGGTATATCGTACTCGAGTCACTAGGAGCTCTGAGTCGAGTCTTGTACTTCGGGTATAGGTATAGAGGGTCAGTCTGTATAAGTGACGAGGGGATTGTGCTGCGAACCCTTAAGCCATGGAATTTAGTATGCAGGCCCTTCCCTCTCGGGCATACTAGGGTGAGGGTAAAGCCTGACGGTACTAGAGTGCGACAACAGGACATCTGCTTGTATGGCTACCCCCCCTCGTCCTCGTAGTGGTATAGCACAATACTACTTGGTGGCGCATTGCTTTTTCCGACTCACAAATCTCTGCTTTTCCTGCTTCGCCCCTAACGATATTATATATTACTGATCATGACAGTAGTACATGATACATCAGGTGACAGCAGTTTTACTTCGATTACCGGTTTAATGTAGATTAGCAACTGCAGGAACCGGGGGTTATAGAACGATCTTAAGGCTTCTACCCGTAATAAATCACCGTGTTACTTTCCAACGGTTACGGGGACTTTTTTTTTACAACTGATCCTGTTGGGCATGAATGTGCTTTCCTCAGGCCAGAGCAAAAGTACCGAGCAAGAGGCATTATACAGAACTGCCAGATCCGTGACTGGTACAACGGCCAGTTATCATGGGGTCCTGCTCTACACAACCACAAAGTGCACATATGTAGAGCGCAGTTGAGACATCGGGGCACGCACGCACGGTACCAAACCCGGCCGAGCGCGGGTGGGGCGGAGGTAGTCATACCCTCAGAAACCTTTTTCTCAGACCGGTGGACATTTGAACAGGCCCGCATAGCCCACTTTGCCCGCCCTGTCTAAGTTGAAATTGCGTCATTTGTGTGGGGAACATTATATAAGACATTCATATAGAGTAGGTATTCAGCGCAGGGTGCACGCAGGGCTGAACTGAAGTCGTGCCGTTGAATTTTGGCAAATATTCCGGATTATTCTAGAGTGTCAGTGTCGAGAGTAAGTAGGCTGTCCCTTCTCTTTTTGGTCGAAAATAAACAACTACAGGTCAGACGGAAGGCGGCGTCTGCTTCTCGGAGAATTACTCTGACCAAGGCCCATGATGTTGGCTTACTAAGTAGCAATCCGGCGCACCGTCTGACAATATCATTCTCCTATTTCCTCCTTCCACTTACGTCTTATGCCTCATTGAACTTTGTGACCTAGCGATATCGTCTGACCTCCAGCCTCCACCAAGCTATGCAAAAGGTCAAAGTCGCACAAGAAGAAGGATGTAACCCCACAAATCCGTGATCGACGTGAACGTACCTACAATGTAGGTATTGTACCTACATAACATGGACCTCGCTTAATGCCGTATCGGAAGCCAGGCGAGTCTAAATGAAGCGTAGTAAAACCTTTGACCGAGTGCGTGCGCAGCCTTGATGTTCGCACGCGCGGGATACAAGACCAAAGGTACGGCGGGAGTTTAAGGCCCGTGCCGCTATTGTACCAAACTTCTAACGTGCCATGTTATCGGACCAATCGATATGCTCGCCGATCTCATGCCAGATGGCGACCTCTACTAACAAGGCTGGGGCTATGATGGAGGAAAGAGTAGAGTAGAAGTTGCATATGATATGCACTCATGATATGCACCTCGTGTCAATCGCAGTGCATTATTCCGACTGAAACTCCTACAAGCCATCTTGAGGTTACTCGGCGAATACCGTTCTGTTGATAGCCTCTTGCACTTATTAGGCAGCTACCTAGGCCTAGGTAATCGCACTCAACTCCGATCCAAGGTGCGGTGCGGCGTTAATAGGTGCTCTATGTATCAAACTTCGTGCCTCATTACGTCTTAAATATAGTGTAGTGTCTAAGCAAGGTTTCGGCGCGACTTCGCGCAAGAATCAACGCGACAGGTAGCTCAAGAATAGAGAATAGACTGGCTCATAATTGATGTCAGTATTAATTACAAACAGGACAATATGTACCTACATACTGTTAATTGACGGTCCTAAGTGTGGACGGAATCTGCCTAGGTCCGGTAATTATTTGATCAGACAAATATGACAGAGTTAAACAGCCAAGACGTTTCTCAAAATCCGAGACACAGCCTGGATTTGATGATGCCTTCGAATTCATCCGGGGTGCCTCTCATCTATCGAACGTCCGATGCTCCGGTGATCGGTCAAGATATAACCGCGCGTTTGCAGCCCCCAGCCTCCAAGTGGAGTAAGTACTCGTATGTACTCATAGTATGTACTCATTGTACTTGGTGCCTAGATGGCATTTGTTAATATGTAATCAACTATTTCCCAAGACACGACATGATATTTGCAAGACATATATGTACTATTTATTAGATGTAGCAAAAAGCGCACTAAGAAAAAGTAACCACCATAACCGTACAGTTGGTAGCAATATTACTGCACACAGCAGCAGGGTATTACCAACTACTAACCCGATTCCTACATATTTGTACCTGGCAAAGTCGACAAGCGAGGCTTCGGAAGTCCATCCAACCGACGTCACAGCGCGGCGTTGAATATCAAATCGCCAGACAGCCTCACTCAACAATCTTCCTAGAGCCTGGCTCCATCGCGCCAAATAGCCAAGGGTCGTTCCAGAAACGGCAAAAAGGTGTATGGGGGCGATAAAGAAACAGCGCACGGTGGCGGGCAAGACTACATGTAGTGACCCCAAACCAGCTGCCAGCATCGGTTGCTAACCCAATCACCAACAAAGGAACCAACCCAGGAAAATCCAGTCACATAGTTGTGATTGGAAAAGGTAGAGAAATAAGAAAGAAAGATCCCATATGTAGATAATACAAGGCCCTGCTTCCTAGGCCAAAAGAAAATACAAACAAAAACTACAAGTCAAAGAAGCAAGATAAAGAGACCTGGCCGACCACCTCAGATCCCATAAACACCCAATTCAGAATAATCCATGCTATCAACGCATATAAAAACGAAGAAGGAAAAGAGGTGCCCAGAATGAGACAAAATTTAGACAAAGAAAAGGCGCGCAAACTAAGAGTAAGATATTTCACGCTCTGTGCATTCTGGCAATAAGAGTAAATGCTAGGAGACATGAGACGCATGTTATGTTGCTATCCACTGAGAAAATAAATGGAGGAGGTATTTTAATCGCGAAACATCTAGCCAGTGTGTTGTTTGTATGAGCGTCGAGGAGGCCCTGAATCTTTCAGCACTGCTCTTTTGTGTTTTTATTTTTCCTTGTTTGCCGGTCTATTGGTTATTATGATGTGTGCGTGATTTAGAGAGTAAAGAATTGAGGCGGCGCATTTGTAACTTAATAGGGTGGACCCGAATTTCCAGCTGAATCTGGGTACACATAGAAACTTATCCCAATTATGGTGTATCTATAAGTTAAAACAGTCAGCCCTGAATCGAATGTAACCATCGTTTATCCGATCCTCTTTATCGCGGCACGATGCCAAGAACTACAGTCGACAACGGTAGGCTTCAGCATAGTTGTACTCACATTCCCAATAGCATAGCCCCCTCGAGATAATTGCTCTTTCCATCTTGTATCAGATAATTTGTAATAAGAACGCTCATGAAGAAAACCACTGTTTCGAAAGTTTGAAAGTAAAGGCTCATTGGCTGCCCAATAATCCATCCGAGAATAACGAGGGCTGGTGTAACAAGAAGTGCAATCTGCATGCTACTTCCTATCGCAACTCCAATTGCAAGATCCATCTAGAACCATAGTGTCAGTGTACTTCTTACAAAGTGACATGTGCTTGCACGCTGTGGGTGAGTGATGACAATAGACTCTGGTGCTAAAGCTCACTAGGCAGAAATGTGATGAGGTTGTCGGGGCTGAATGAGTGGGGTACATCTTGCAAGGATGAGTTGCATGAGCTGCATGAGCTGCATGAGTGCATAAAAAGAAAAGAAAACCGTGCCAAAGAACGTCCTTTTTTAAACAGGCTAGGACTACTAGGAGCAGTGAAGTCTGGGGCGTGCGGATTGTGTAAGGAGGCAAATACAAACCTTGTTTTTCATCGCCACCACCACAGCTGTAACGTGCTCAGCTGCATTTCCAACGATTGGTATCAAGATCAATCCGATGAATGTTTTGCTAATTCCAGAGCTCCCAACAACACTGTCAATCGAGCCAACCAAGTATTCAGCGCAGACAGCAACCGCGAGTGTGACAGCAACCAAAACAACGCCAGACTCGATAACTGTGAGGACAGGATCGTCTTCGGTATCTTGGTTATTTTGGTCCCCAGAAAGTTCCGCGTCGAAGAAGTCGGAGTGTGTACGTAGTTGAAAAACTAGATAGAGGATATAGAGGATGAGTAAAACAACCGAAGTACCTCGGGAGAGATTAAGGACAAGAGAAAATCCCTCTTCTTTTGAGACATCCACGGTTGAGTAGAACGCCGCAGGAATGATTAATGAGGCAGTGGCGACGGCCATGAGGGAGGACATTGTAGAAGCGACCGTAGTGTTGAAGGTTTGTTCCTTATACTTCATTCCACCAAATAGGAAACACATTCCAAGAACCTTAAAACAGAAATCTGTCAATCGAGCTCTCTGCATGAGGATGATAGCTCCACGTCTAATTCGAACATACCAGAAGAATGTTAGATAGAATACTTCCCAGCATGCTGGCCTGGACGATCCTAATCTCGCCCTTCGTCAAAGCGACCACGCTGACCTTTACAAAGGAAGAATAATGTTAGTTAAAATTGTCTTCATATACTGCGTCAAGTTCTCCTAGAATCCTTACAATCAACTCGACAGCATTTCCAAATGTAGCATTTAATAAACCCCCAAGTGTTTCGCCCACAACCAAGGCCAACTCCTCGGTAGCAAAACTAAGCAAGGACGCAAGTGGAATGATGGCCAAAAAGTTTAGTATAAACGTAGCAGTTGGACTCCAGCCCAAGAATCCAGATAATACACCCAATGGCACAAAAACAAGTAATATGTTAACATAATTACTTAAGAGGACTAGCTTCGATTTCAAGTAAAAGCTTTTGCTGATCTCCTGTACAGAGATTTTACTTCGATGAATGAAGCTGTAGCTGTGGCTGTTGTACCCGTTGGAGCGCGGTAGGAGAGGCTCTCTTTCCCCGTTTGTGTACCCGTTCATATCTTCTGCCGGAATGATCTTAGTACGTCTACGAGCAATTGTGTTTGTTTTGCGCCTTAAAGCCCCTGTTAAAGTATTCCAGCAACGGCGCCAATATGGCACGGTGCCGGTAGTGGTTAGCTTTAGGTCCAACACTTCGACTGATTTAATAAGGACTCCGGTTCTTGATGAATGAAATTTAAAGGCTGAAGGAGCGGATATTTGAGAGAGGTAAAGAGGAACGTAAAGCTGGACGGGAAAGAACGAATATTCCAAAAAGTATCATCGATATATGATGGGTTCAAAATGTGATCGGTTCAAAATGACATCTAGATAGAGGGGAAGATGGGGAGGGGAAGGTCATATATATTTGGTCCGTAAATTATGGGGTGTGTACAGCCACTAAAGTGATGTACTTACACATCATTATGGGTCCCTCTCACGGTAGGAAAGATTCTGTGGTAGGTGCCGAAAGGTGACCTAAGTAAATTATGGATGCGCACGAGCGAGCGGTAAGGTGCTAACAATCAGGTGCTAGATAAATCAGATGAACGTTGTGAGCGAGTCCCTCTGAGGAGTCCAAAGCGATAAAGATCTTGTGATGCGAAACGAGGATTATCAGTGAAAATTCGGAAGCGAACCTGTTAGAGTCTCAGGCGCCGGAGGCTGTGCTTTTAGATCTGGTAGATTGTGGTGTGGGGAAGAGCTTGGAGACAATAAAAAAAGCGCGACTAGGCGACAGAGGCAGAGTGGGAAGAGCACAATTTAAAAGGTTGAAAGGGGGGGGGTTGGATTAATGAAGGAGGAGTAAAAGAAAGAGAAGGAGAAGAGGGAGGTCCTTTCAAGTAAGATTTGGGAGCTGATATGACCCCAGTAATAAAGGCAGGCTTTTGAGCCAGGCGCCTGACGTACAAATTGTCCAATGTTTGTGGCTAACCTCTTACATTTATAGCAATGTAAAAAAAAACGCTGTGCATCTCAGATCTAATGATGTCGTTCTATAGAACCTCGAGAACTGTTGAACTTCATGTCACACCCATCACTGCCCTGTTTTAGGACCCAGGCATATATCCTATCCATAGCGTCATATTTTATTTCCCTTGTCTCCAACCAGATCAAGCTCTTGTCTCATCGGGGGAGCCTCCGTCTTGCTAGTAGGGATGATAAGGGGGGCCTATGTAATAAATGAACGGTGAACTGTGATTTACGACTATATACCGGGTATGTGGGTGTTCGAGAATCCCGTACATACATACATGTACCTTTGCTGGACGGTGACTTTTCTTGCCGATGTTCTTCGGAAAGAAAAAAAAAAGCCACATCTACTCTAGTGAGTGTGGCTAGCATATCGGAACGGCACAAATTTGCCAAGCCATCCCTATAGCTGTAGAGTCGCGTTCAACAGAACATTTTTTGGTCCTGCCCTGCCCCCCTGAATACAACGATACCGAGATCTAGGGACTGCCGCGAATTCACCCCGCCATCGCTGAAGAAACTATACCGTCCTGATCTTGGATGAGGAAATTGCCTCTTAATATTCTGACAAAGCTAGCATCATCTATTATCGCCGGTCAACATTTACAGCCCGTTGTCCTTTGCTTTCACTCGCCCCTCGATCACTGCCACCACCTACTCAACACCACTATTGACACCATTACCACCACCACATTGATAGTATCAGTCAATCGCCTCTGCCATATCTCCTTACAAATAGCCAAGCCGCCATCATGGTGGCCGAAACTCCCGAAGTTCCCTCCTTTATGGGCGTGCCAATGAAGCACTTATCACTTGTTACAGTACAACGCCCCTTCGTTCAGTAAATGTGGGTTAATGCATTTAGTTAATGGCAAGCTAACTTCGATAACTACGATATAGTTAACATTTCAAAACTCGGCATTGATACTTGTAAAGCCACCTACGTCTATGCTCTGCCATAGAGCTCACCTACTAACACGTGATTGTAGATAATGCACTACTCCCGCATCATGCCCATGACATCTCAACATCGATACTTTACCTCAACAGCAGTATTCCTCAATGAAGTTATCAAGCTTGCTATCTGTGTCTGGGTTGCGCTTCGGGACCGCCGTAAAATAGATGGCCCAACAACTATGATGTCTCAGTCTGTAAGACAACTCTACACCGAGGTCTTTCGCCCAGATAACTGGAAGCTGGCCATCCCAGCATGTCTTTACACACTTCAGAACACTCTTCAATATGTTGCCGTGTCTAATCTGGATGCTGCGACTTTCCAAGTCACTTATCAGCTTAAAATTCTGACTACTGCTCTATTTAGCGTTACAATGCTACATAGGGGTCTTTCTTTGAGGAAATGGGTATCTTTAGTACTGTTGACAATAGGTGTTGCAATTGTCCAGCTGCCTTCTCCTGGTTCTTCGACGCAATCACAGTCCTCAGGAAGCACTGATGCTAGCCACCAGCGCCGTTCAGCACCTTATGATGGTACCCACAATGATAATTCTGCAGAGCTCCAAATGAACCGAGCAGTTGGGCTATTTGCCGTCGCAATTGCGTGCACGATCTCTGGTTTAGCAGGTGTATACTTTGAGAAAGTTCTCAAAGGTTCAAGCGCAACTCTCTGGGTCCGGAACATTCAGCTTTCGTTTTATTCACTATTCCCCGCCTTTTTTATTGGAGTCGTGTTCGTAGATGGGTCGGAAATCATGCGTAGGGGATTTTTTGACGGATATAATGGCGTGGTATGGACTGCAATTGCGTTCCAAGCTGCTGGGGGAATTGTTGTGGCACTTTGTGTGAATTTTGCGGATAATATTGCCAAGAACTTTGCAACTAGCATTAGCATCTTGATTAGCTGTTTGGCGAGCGTTTATTTCTTCGATTTTGAGGTTACCATTAATGTAGGTTACCCCCCCCCCCCCTCCCCCCACACTACTTATATTCGGGGCTAACTAACTTTAACAGTTTATGATTGGTTCCGGCGTTGTTCTTCTGGCTACATGGCTTTACTCAAAGCCCGAATCTAATGCTGCAAACGATTATATTCCGCTTGAGAAGACAGAGGTTGAAACTGTATTTGACAATAAGGAAGCTATTCTCTCTGAAGATGAAGCATCTAATCCCGCGGAGGTATTCAAAAGGCAGGATTGATCAATTGGTTCGGAATTTGTTTTATCGCAATCATATCATAATATCATATTCCTCCGATGTTTTTTCTTCTTTTGGTTCCGTGGATGATATCAATGACAGGGTTGTGGATTGAAATTTCCATTTATTTTTTCTTTCAGTTTTTCGTTTTGTTTTCATTTTCCATTGCTTTCTTGCCTAGAAGTGAGCTGAAGATTTTATGTAAATATGCATGGGAGATCTAAATACAGGTAGAGTACATGTATAGAACAAACTTGATATATCATATTGTCACTTGTGTATGCAGGAACAACCAGAGAGCTGGTAATGGGCTATCCTTCAACGGGCCGCCCTAGTCAGAAATGTAATCAGCCCAACCGTCGAAGTAAGAAAACCCGAAAAATGCATAGAGTGGGTACATGTAGGTACATGTAAGTTGCTTACACCTAAAATAAGAATAAGGGGAGATGACGCCAAGACTAGTGTGAGGAAGGTCAAAGACTTTGGGGCATTAGACTTGGGACGGGATTATCTGCGGCCGGTTGGCTTCAACGAACTGCATTGCACAGCAGCTCTCAGCTGAGATTGTGGCTACTTTTATTTGTTATTATTTTATTTTATTTTCTCCACGGACCTCATCGAGCCGTTGTCAATTGAGTTGTCGTTGCTGTTGCAGGTTCCTAAGGAAGTATTTTCAGGCGTGGCGCATTGAGCTCGCGTGGGCTCGGATGTCTTGAAGGAACGCAAGCTGAATACTCTACATACTCGCGGCAGGCAAAAAGTACCGGATAATGCAAGTTTTGTCTCTGGGCTTTTTTTTGCAGTAGTTCACGCCTAGCACGCGCACCCATTGGTGAACCAAAAACCTGCATTGTCCGGTACTTTTTGCCTGCCGCGAGTACATGTAGAGTACTACATGTAGTACACCTCGGTATTTGCCAGTGCACGCTTAACCTACAGTTTCAGAAATTATACTCTAGAGTAAGTAATCTATTACTTTAGCTACATTGTATAATATTACCGAGCCTAAGTTCCCCGAGACATGAACTTTTTAAATGAGACTGATTTACATGCACTGATGGTACTCATAGCTTCATAGCGTTTCCGAACACGACCAATATTGCATGACATACAAAAAGGTGGATTTGGCGCTTTTTTGCATGGTATGCAATATTGGTCGTGTTCGGAAACGTCATGAAGCTACGGGTATATCCCGAGAATACATGTAGGGCTGAATTGTACTATAGTACATGTATAGTATACGGTATATATGGTAATGGTATATATTTTTTTACTTTCAATTGTTTGGTCGGGAAACTAGTTCGCGTAGCTTAAATTATGAAGAGTTATTTGCATAGATGTCCAATCATATATTACGCGGTACGGTCTTATATCTGGTCCCGAGTCACTGGACTCTCGGACTGCGGTGTTCTGGATTGAAAAAACCTTTGCGAACACGAGCACTTGTGATAAGCCTCCAGAATCCTTTTGCTCAGCCCTATGTAGTTTTTTACCTTCACCCACCCCGGTACATGGTTCATCGCCGTGATCAACACTCCTATGCCCTTTGTTCTCGGGGCTCTACTAATATTCTCTGTCTAAAGACCTCGGGCTTTAGTTCTGTAGCAAATGTATATCTTTAGCTCTGGATACGAGGACTAGGTTGAGGCGGACAAATGGGGTCTTGAAAACTGTCTTTGGCATACGAATCTCATACCCGCGCCTGGTACTTTTTTTTGCTCCGCCATATCTCACAAGACTTGGCAAATCCGAGTGACCCCCCGTGACGCACCCGTACGCACCGCGTAATCAACAAGAGCACTGCCATATCACATATCACCCGGGAAAAATGAGGGTGTGCATACGATTGGGTGTACTGCCTTGGTTGTGTAGTCGATCACCCAATTGGCTAACAACACAGCCACGTTTTTTTTCGAGATACCAAGAGCTTTCTTGACAGCTGCAAGATCGCATTAGAAATTAACTGGTGTATGCAACAGGCTATGCAGATAAACGCGAAAACCGTTGATAGAGGAGCAGATAACTGGCCGTTGCGAGTCCAGGCGAGGGGTCCATCCGGGTTGGCCATTCTCATTACGTAGAACCTTGCATGGAGTATCTACATACATATCAGACTTTCTTCAGCCCTCGGATAGTCACGTATTTCATTATTACCAGCTTGGGGGCCTGTCGATCTGTGTGATGAATGCCTTCTGCGCGAAACCTGTTTGTAACACTCGAAGTGTGATATTGTGGACAACCGAGCAAGGACGGGTGTTTTTGATGGAAGAGGGTGTAGAGTACCGCAAAAACTCACGAACTTTGCTAGCGGATCTGACCAAAAACTAACTTGTAGAGGAAATATCTGAAGCTGATCTCTGCCTTTCAGCCAATCATCAATGAAGAAATCCCTGCACGGAGATAATCAAGTTGGCGAGTTTCTGCGGTAGTGTATGGCTACACGTAGAGTGCCTACATGTAGATGTTCCATACTCGGGGTATTGTAACTGTAGGTGGCCTTCTTGGCATGTACCGATGACTTATTTTACTGGATGTCATTTGATCTCTGTTACCGTATTCCAGGATTCCCAGCTTCCTTTACAGCTCGTTTTTCCAGAATGCATCTCATAATAGGCCCTTTTATGGATAGACCCTCTTTTAAAGCGATTATTGGAAGACGTGTCAACCAGTCTAGTGTAGGCAAATGTTCAATTGGTTCGAGCAGATTATGGTGGAGAGGTCGGTGTGGCAAAATGTGTTTTGGTTTACTTGGGGGCCACAGTGAATGTCGGCGACTTGAGATGTATGTACCAATCGTTCCTTTTATCCGTACCTCTTGACTAGATGTAGTGTAAGCCACAATGTTCCAATGACTAGAGTAATCCAACCTAGAGTATTTACAAGCCAACAATGGTGGTGGGGTCTCAGATTCTAAGATTTACTCAACATTTGCCATTCGGAAAATTTGGTTTCAGGTTATTTCGTCTTCCACTAAATAAAATGGTATAAACATCTGGTTTGAAATATCGAAGAAAACATTAATCATAGATCACAAGGAAGGTATGGCACCAACAAATTACTCAGTTGTCTTACCTTTTTCGTTGTCAAGATTGATATTCGTTTCATCTTGATATTAGACACTATCAGATGATGGGTGTTATTTAGTATATTCATTTATCCGCGATGATCAACAACTGTATTCTCTCCACGTAACTCTAATCCATAAGTATGGATGGTAAAAATTATTATTGGTGACCTCTGACGAGTGATGGTTGGTGATGATGGGTAAATCCCAAAGTTCCAAAACCAAAAAAAAGAGAGAAAAAAAGTAGGTTAATTCTTGAAACGCATGGATATAATCTACCCCAAAAGCTAAACAATATGAGTTATAACCTCATGCAATGCAATGCTCTGCTATATATTTCGCTTCTTTATACATCTGACTGAAACACCTTTATCTGTCAACCTCACCAAACACCAAATCCATGGTTCCAATAATCGCGACGGCATCAGCCAACAGATGTCCTCTAGAGATCTGATCAAACGATCCCAAATGCGCGAAACCTGGTGCTCGGATCTTGCATCTATACGGCCTCTCGCTACCGTCTGAAACGACGAACACACCCATCTCACCCTTTGGTGCCTCAATGGCACTGTAGGTCTCACCAGGGGGAACAGCGTAACCCTTGGTATACAACAGGAAGTGGTGGATGAGCGCCTCCATGTTCTCCTTCATTGCCGCTCTTGGGGGCGGGGAGATCTTGAAGTCTTCTACACGGACAGGACCGGAAGGCATCTTGTTAAGGCACTGGTGGATGATTCTGAGCGACTGCCTGAACTCCTCCATACGGCAGAGGTAACGGTCATAGCAGTCTCCATGAATACCCACGGGAACATCGAAATCTACTTGGTCATAGGCATCGTATGGGGTAGCTTTACGGACATCCCAGGCAACACCGGAACCACGGAGCATAACTCCAGTGAAGGAGTAGTTGAGCGCGTCGGCAGCGGAGACGACACCGATACCCTTGGTACGGGCGACCCAGATCCGGTTGTCGGTGAGCAGCTCTTCAGTCTCATCAATGCGGTCACCGAATTGGGTGGCCCATTGGTAGATATCGTCCAGGAGACCGATGGGGATGTCCTGATGGACACCGCCAGGGCGGACATAGGCGGCGTGGAGACGAGCACCAGACACACGTTCGTAAAATTCCTGGGTGGCAAGTGAGAATCTATCCTATATGGGGAGGATAGGTAGGTAGGTGACATACCATCAACTTCTCACGCTCCTCGAATCCCCACAAGAAGGGCGTCAGGGCACCGACATCTGGAAACATGTGTTATTATGATATTGCTTTCCCGTATTAGTGAAAAATTGATGCAAAGGCTTACCCATAGCATGTGACAAGACGGACATGAGATGGTTAAGGACACGAGTGATTTCACCGAACAAAGTACGGATGAATTTAGCTCGCGTCGGAATCTCAATATTAAGCAGCTTTTCCACAGCCAATGAGAAGCACTGCTCATTGGTCATCCTACATAATCGTTAATTTCTGCAATTCCCTAAATATAATTCCGGTGAATAAATGCTCACATGGAAACGTAATCCAAACGATCAAAGTACGGCAAGGCTTGCAAGTATGTCTTGTACTCGATCAACTTCTCCGTACCTCTATGAAGAAGTCCGACATGAGGATCAGCACGAATGATCTGCTCTCCGTTCAATTCCAAAATCAATCTCAACACTCCGTGAGCAGCCGGATGTTGGGGTCCCTATCCAAACCGATTTAGTCAGCCTTCCCTCTCCTCCTCTGCAGTATATCGTTTGAGTGACGGCATACGAAGTTGACGGTATAGTGTCTGATCTTTCTGTTCTCGATCGCAGTAGGGTCGTGTTTGGCATCGTCCGTAATAACTTATTGCCCAAGAATTAGCCCGGCTATATTGTATCCATCCGCCCGCCACAGTCAACTCACAAGCAGCATCGAGCGCCGCCCCTGCAGGGCCAGACTCCGTAAGTGTAGTGGGCGTGTACGCCTCTGCCCTCGATATTCTTGTGCTTGAGAATGGGCGTATGGCGAATGCCTTCAGCGCCGGCGGGTTCGCCTTAAAGGCGGACGGCCGGGCAAAGCATAGTCTCTTCGCAGCCAGGCGAGTGAAAGTTGCCATAGTGGCGGTCAAGTTCAATTGGAGGTTGAGGGGAGATGCAGGCGCGATTAGAGAACGCGGGGGGGGGGGGGTGAGTTGAGGTCTTTGAAACAGACCGGGGGTGGTGGCGGGATTACTAAGGTGATGTAGTATCAGTTCCCGACTGCCGCCTGCAGACCTTCCTCCCCCCACTAATACTTTATTGGGTAATTCTGGACCTCGAGGGAGCTCCGCAGCCGGGTAACCATCCCATAACCCCACCAAATGATCGAATAATCTTCCTCGTAACTGATATGTGATATAGGAAAGTATGCCGAGAAGAACAAAGACCGTTGCTCCAGACTCCTCCACCGTGGGGGCAGTCCTTCCGGAAACTTTTACAGATGGAGGCCCACTACCTAAACTCTTCGCCTTCGATCTGGATTACACCCTATGGCCATTCTGGGTCGACACGCACCCCACACTCCCATTCCGGTATTCAAACCCTACAACGGTCCTCGACCGCATAGACACGCCTTACGGCTTCTATGATTCTGTGCCGCGTATTCTGCATGCACTGCGGGCAAGGAATATCCCAATTGCCGCAGCATCAAGAACCCATTCCCCGCAGGGAGCGAAGCAAGCGCTATCGCTCCTTGAGATTGAGGGAGAGAAGGCTATTGGGTACTTTGATTATATGGAGATCTACCCAGGCTCGAAGATCACCCATTTCAAGCGATTGATGAAAGAAACTGGTATTGACTATGAGGATATGTTGTTCTTTGATGATGAACATCGTAATGCGGAGGTCGATCGTCAACTCGGAGTGTGCATGGTGCATGTGCTAGATGGTATGGAACCGGGTGTGGTTGATGAGGGTGTCAGGGAGTGGAGAAAGAGGAGAGAAGAAAGGGGTGCAGAAGAAGACCAACCAGACAAGGCGAAATGATTGAGACTCTATAGAGCTTAGATTTTCGATATCAAGTTAGCGACTGTTTCATATAGATCGCAATATATCATATATTCTCAGCATTCAAATCCTATTCCGTGATTGATATATTCGGGCTACATGTAGTAATACAAGACAAAAAATGATAAGATTGAAATGGCGTGAAAACGATATCGAGTAATAACTCGGTTTTGATATTCATAGTAAAACGCGCGGCATCCACTGCCGAGACAACTGAGACAGCTAAGTATTTGCCAAATCGGGCCCTGTATATAATTATATAAGTCCCCCATTAGCCTTTAGCTTGTAATACGTAGCAACACCGCGGTACCGCCTATTGAAAGCTTTGTATCAGAACAAACGCTCACATAGCTTATTCATGTGTAAGCACCTTTTCAGTGGTGGCTTCAAACTCACTTATCGTATCAGCAAGCCGACCCCGGGCTATCCCATCATAATATCAATTGACAACTTCCCAGCTTGTCGCAGTAAATTTGAAGTTACCCAGCCAGTAGACACTTTCTGTACGACAAGCTGACAATATTGAAAAGTATCACCTAGGTTTCCACAAAACGGCGTCTACTCGAGTCATCAATCATAGCTCGCACTGATTACAGAAGCAGCAAAGTAAAGCGAAGTAAACAAAAACCCACAACTTTTGACATTCGTTATCGTTTTTTATGTCCCGAAAACTCCACGTCGAACAAATTACAGCCTGTCCTATATCATACAAAAAAATGCCACACATGACTAAAAAAAGAAATATAGAAAATGGTAGGAAAAGGAGACCAGCATGAAGAAAAGTAGTAAGAAAAGCCAAAAAAGAAACTAATCTTGCATCTCTACTTCTTGCGATTCTTCCTCTACACCATCATCACCCCAGAGACCCTCCAGTTTGAACTCTGCTGCCCATTCCTTCACAATCTCCTTCTGGTCACTCTCTCCAACCTCCTCGTAGGCCTGCTTGACTCCACCCTGCGCCGCTGCAGCCGCAACAGCAGCTATAGTGTTAGCCAGTGCTGGAGGATCAATCCAGCCTTGAATGCGCCCGTCACGCCAGTCCATGATTACCGTCTTTGCGGCAGCGTCAATGTTAGGAATACCACGTTTTCCGAGCCTTCCACGCTTGCGAGCAACCTGTACAAGGAAATCGTTGACAACGTCTTTGGCGCTTGTGTTAATAAGCGGAGGGAGATCATACAACGCAAGCAGCTTCGCAAATAGAGCCTCTGAGGTGGAGAGACGGCGGATCAGTAGAGCGATCGCGGGGACAGGATCGGCAATCTGCTTGGGTGGGATAGCGTTTAGGAGGATGAGGCGCGCCTGGTCGTCCTGAGATGAGCTCTCAGTGCTGCCGGGGAAGACAATACCAGGGGAGTCAATGATCTTGAGCTTTTTGTCGAGTTTGATTTCGCGGAGGGATGTGGTGACACCGGCTTCAGCTCCTGTGGGGCAGGAAGCTTGAGATCCACCGAGACGGCCGCAGAGTGCGTTGATGACGGAGGACTTTCCGACGTTGGGGTATCCAATCACACCGACTGATACCGAGCGCTTCAACTGCTTGCTGTGAGCGAAGGTCTTGAGAGCCTTCAACAAGGCAGCCGAAGTGCCGGCGACGGTAAGTGCCTTGTGGTCGAAAGTGTGGGCGTTAGCTGCGGAGTTGCTGGCACGGAGGGGAAGCGTTGGGAAGTAGCGGCGGAGGTAAGTTAACCACCCCTTGAGAACGCTCGGCGGGATCAAATCGATCTTGTTGAGGATCAAAATCAGACGCTTCTCGCCGCCATCTGCAGCCATAACAGCACGCTCTACCTCGCGGGAACGAGTCCCTTCGGGGTCACGGGCGTCAAGGACGTAGAGGACAACGTCGGCGGCATCGACAACTTGCTTAAACATCTTGTCAAAAGCCTTGCGGGAAGTATCTTTTGTGATGTGTGTTTCGTCTTCGTCTTCCTCTGAGTCTGACTCGCCGCTGGAGACACCATGCTCGGCTTCGTACTCAGCGGCGCGGGCACGAGCAGAGGCAAGAAGAGCTGCCATTGCTGACGTTCCATTCTAAGGAAAGACAGTTAGTAACTGTCAAAGCATTGATTAGGGTCGGCTAGAGAAAACCCACTCCTTCGTCCATGTCCTCGTCGCTGTCCTCCTCTTCTTCAGACATGTCTTCTTCTTCTTCATCAACCTCGTCAGCGTCCACCATCACATCTTCACCGTTCTCCGCAACAGCCTTTTTCCTCAATTTCGCAGCCTCCCTTCTCTTGAGCTGTTCCTCCTCTTTCGCTCTTCGGCCATCCTCAATCTCTGCAAGTAGCCGATCTTTGTAGGGGAAACTGTTCGGGATGTTCAATTTCTCCGTCTTCTTTCCCCTGTGGAGTTCGGGGTGCTTTTTGACATCTTTACGCTCCTTGCGCTGCTTCTCAGCACTGCGCTTCTCGATCTTGTGTCGTAGGCGGACGGGAACACGCTTTGACTTCTTCTCTGCAGAGAGACAATGTATGTCAATTTCAAATTCTAACAAATTGACATATAAGATATTCGTATAATGGCAAACTCACTTGGCATTTTGAAGGTTTGCTGTTTGGGGTGGGTTTTTGTGGTTGTGTTGTAAGTGAGAGAAAGGAACCTTTTTTTCCTTATTTTTTACGACCAGAGGAAAATTTCGTGGGGCGGTCGCTATAAGGCCGGGTAACAAGAGCTTGAGCAGAGACCCCGCTAAACATGGAGGGGAGCAAACAGAGCCTCTTCTGGGGTCAATGACCAGGCCCTATATCCCTTAGTCAGTCCCGCGTTCCACTCATTGGTAGCGGTACCTTTTCTACGTCACTTTTCCCGGTACTACATGTAAGTGACGAGCATGGATTTGCAAGAAAACCTGCCCAACAGCTCCACGCCCCAGTGATTGAAAACGGAGGAAGGGATATCAACGATATCGACATCTTTTAACCGTTTACAGCGTCGAAACTCCATTTGCAATTGACGGGCTGGTAGGTTTAAATAAGAGTGTATCTATAGATCCTTGTTCTATAGTAGCTCTGTAGGGTGAGTGGAATAACGACACCAACACGCTCCTTCCACTCTACCCCCTCGACTATAAAAATGACCTAGTTATAGTCGCTCTTGGATGAGTGTCATCTGTTGAGTACGGCTGCTAGTATGGGATAATATCCCAGGCAACGGAGCGACGTACACATGTAGTGATGTAAGTACGTATTCAGAGATTATAATTGCCGGAGACAGTTACGTTAAACAAGAATAAAGCGACCATCCAAAATGGTGTGCCTTGGTTCTCGGTTGGTTTTGGATTCTTGTGCCCTAAAGTTTTCTCACTGGCGGGGCAGAGTGATTATCCATGATGAATTGCCATCCACCCCTAACCCACAGCTTAATTCTTCACTCCCGTCATTGTGCGTCAATCCCGTACCTGCGACAACCATTTCCCACCACCACAGAGTGCATTTCCAAAGAACTGACAGTCATGAAGATCTTCGTCCGTCACCTTCGCACCCGCCCAAATATACGGTCATCCCTTCGCGCACCCCCACAAGCCTCACCCGCGCACTACCAACCACCCCCCCATGTGCCTGAAGGTGCAGAGGCAGAATCACTCACCCGCTACAATCCGCCTAGTAAGCTCAGTACACCAACCCGTAGCGCGCTACAGGAGAGCCGTACACCGGCCAGTCGTCTGCAACTACAGCAATCGCAATACCGAAATAGAGATTACGATGTGGAGGAGAAACCAAGTAGCTACACTCCCAGACAGCGCTCTAGAGAATACAAAGAGGAGGAGATAAGCTCTTACTCGCCCCGTCAGCATGCACCAGGTAGTGGACCCCAATCGCAATCCCAATATAAGAGCTATAAAGAAAATGATGAGGCCAGCGCCTACAGCTCCCGTCAGCGCTCTCCAAAGAGCAGGACATATGAAGAAGAGGACTTAGGCGACTACACCCACTACTTACGTACGCTAAATACCGAACCACCTGCAGAGATTGAGCCCATAGAGCGTGCTCCAAAACCTCCCAAAGAACCGCGCGCCAGAGAACCCCGGCTGCACCTCTCCGACCTCATCCCCGAGAGCCTCACCCCGTACTCCTACCGCTGGGAGACGTTTGCTCCCACCCCCGACGAGCTCATTGACGCCGACCGCTTCTTCCTCAAATACCCGCCCAAGCATCTGTGGTCCGAGGCTAAGTTCAAGAAGATTGATTTTGGGGACGTGCCTGAGGTGTGAGGTCTCCCTTTTCTTTGTTCTACCTCCATGCTCTGCTAACACTATAGACAGGTTGCGTTTCTCGGCCGCTCAAACGTAGGAAAGTCTTCGCTGCTGAATGCGTTGCTGAATAACAAAAACCTGGCGTATACATCGTCTAAGCCTGGGCGAACGAGGCTCATGAATGCATTTGGTATTGCGGACGGGAAGCTGGTGTTGTTAGATATGCCGGGGTATGGACATGCCTCTAGAGAGGAATGGGGAGTACAGATTATGAAATACTTGAAGTCACGAAAACAGTATGTGAGCTTGATTTATTGAAGTATCTGAGGGTGGTGTACTGATATTGACATATATAGATTCCGACGTGCTTTCTTGCTAATTGATGCGAAGCATGGACTTAAAAGGAACGATTTGCAGCTTCTCGAACAGTTTGGACAGGAAGGTATCTCATACCAGATTGTGTTATCGAAAATCGACAGGGTCAAGCCAAAGGATTTAGAGAAGCTATTCAAGGAGGTACGTGGTCTCATGGAAAATGGAATACCAGGTGCCAATGCTGGTCTTGGGGAGATTCTGGCTACAGCTGGAGACCCTGCGAAGAAGGGAGAGAAAAAAGTGGGACTGAGTGACCTGAGACGGGCTATCTTGGTCGCTTCTGGCCTGGAAGGCGTTCAAATTTGAGAGATGATCGCTTAGACATGAAAATGAAAAACTGGGCTTGTATAAGTACGAAAGTGTACAGTGTAGACCGGGTATGTATCACGGCAATCAAAGCGGTAATCTAGACAATGTTTTGGCCTGCCCTCAAAAAAAAAAGAAGTGAATATAGAATACAGAATGGTAAACCTCCTACTTCCACAGCTTGGACAATGACATTTCCTTGTCATCGTGCTTGTTAAGAACCTTGGCCGTTGCAAGATCTGAATAAAGGCTGTTAGCAGGTGAAATAGCATTGAGGAGGGGGACCGCATACCAAAATCTTCCTGCGTTACGTGGATTCGTCGTTCTCGGAGGGCATACATTCCTGCCTCAGTACACACACCCTTCAGTTCAGCGCCAGAGCAACCATTCATTTTCTCTGCAATCTTTTTAAGGTCGATTCCTCTGGTCAAGTTCATAGACCTGGAGTGAATCCTAAGAATATCGGCACGGGCCTCGACACTAGGATAAAGGTGTTAATAATCAATTAAAAAGTAAGTGAGATCACGTGATACATACGTTGGAGGAGGAAACTCAATCTTCCTATCAATTCGTCCAGGCCGTAATAGTGCAGGGTCCAAGATATCCAATCTGTTTGTCGCCATGATAACCTTAATGTTCTTTGTGGGCTCAAAGCCGTCCAACTGATTCAACAGCTCCAACATAGTCCTCTGAACTTCAGAATCTCCTCCGGAGTTTCCTTCAACACGACTGCTACCAATACTATCGATTTCGTCCATAAAAATAATACTGGGTGCATGCTCTCTCGCCATTACGAATAACTCTCTAACCATGCGAGATCCCTCACCGATATACTTTTGCACCAACTCAGAACCAGACACACGGATAAATCGACAATCTGTGTGGTGAGCAACCGCACGAGCAAGAAGGGTCTTCCCGGTACCGGGCGGGCCGTAAAGGAGGACACCCTTTGGTTGCGCAATACCGAGAGATTCGAACAGTTCAGGATGTTTTAATCCAAGTTCGATGACCTCCTTAATCTCCTTGATCTGCTGATCAAGACCACCAATCATGTCGTATGTGCTGTCGGGGACCTTTTCGACCATCATAAGAGAGACAAGAGGGTCGACCTGAAGACATTAGCTTGAGCTTTGGTTAATAAGTAGGAAAGGACGTACAGAGCTCGGCAGCATCCTTTCTAGTCTATATGAATCCGAAAGGAGAGTGACACGCTTGCCGGGGGTGAGTTTCGAGATATCGACACTTTCCGCAACGTCGACGACTACCACTAAAATCAGATGGCCCCTCCCAACATTATAGCTTGATTAGACCATACCATATTTTCCTTCTGGGTGAACCTTAACCAGAACCCTTTTGCTACCCATTACCTTCACGACTTCTCCGACGTATGAACCCGGTTGCTGGAGTAATCCAAGCTCCTCTCTAAGAAGGCGAACTAGAAAGGTCTTATCAGCATCCATAGACATCATGGATAGATTATGAACAGCAAAGTTGCGACAAAAGGTAATATCAAATATCAGAGAAGGCAAGGGCCCGCGAAGACCCCGCCATGTAGCTATTCCGCATGAAAAGAGTACAAGTCTCTAAGACTGGTGCCAGCTTGTGTCTCATCCTGTAGATGTGATGGATAGGAACATATATATAAAAGATCTACCAACCTCTTGAGTTGTAATCATTGCGCTGAGCCTCCAATCTTCTTAGTTTGGAGTTCCGTTCGATGATCTCTAGCTCTAACGACTCGATCTTATTGTGGAAGAAGCTGTTAAGGGCCATGTTGCTTGCCCAAACGATGCTGTATGAGTGAAAATTGACAATGACAGGATTTTATTAAATCTTTGATGATCGCAGGCTAGCTGAATAGATGGATAATGCTGATGGAAAGGTGGTTCACGATGATGGATGATGGATGGCGGAGTTACTGGTGTTGGAGCAGTTAGTAGGACATTGAATCGCACGTGATCTGGGTTCAACAATCGGTTTGTCATCAGGGACCTTATGATGGAAGATGCCCTGTCTCAGGGCAGCACTGATCACATTGCAACGCAAAAGAACACCTCGCCTCTCCCCTGACCTCCAGAGCATTTAGGTAGCCTGATTTCCGCCTCGATCTTTCTTCCAACAGCATACTGCGACCACCACCACCACCACTTGAGATACCAACCATTCCTTCAAAGTCGTTCTTTCAAATACATCCACAATGTCTGACCAATTCGCACAATTCGCCGAGATCCCTAGGGAATTCCTTAAAGATGGAACTCTATTCATCAACAGATGCACTAAGCGTATGCTGCCTTCACTGTTCTGTCGCAGTTTCTTGACTCTAGCGCGCTAACCGCTAACATCTATTACTTGCTATAGCGGATAAGAGAGAGTTTATTAAGATCTCACAGGCCGTCGGTATCGGTTTCATTGTCATGGGCGCCATTGGCTTCATTGTTAAGCTTATTCACATTCCCGTCAACAATATCTTGGTGTATGTATTCCTTTCTAATGTGCACGAGTGTATAATAAAAATCTAACAATCCTTCCAGCGGCGCTGCTTAAATAAAAAATTTAATCATTTTCTCAAACCGGGTGTTACGAGATAGTACGACTGGGTCTGGAGTTTCGCGGTATTTGGTGGACAAGGAAAACCAAGGCAGGGGATTTTATTATCGATGAGTGGCGATTTTAACAACTATTACTGTACGATATTTAGGCGCGGTTTTATTCTTTTTTTTCTTTTCTTTGTTCAAAAAAGCATTGGATTAGATTCCACAGCCACGATATAGAACTTAAGTGTAGTTTTGAGTGTTCAGTGACCTTAACTCGTGAGATCTTCAAATGAGATGGATAGAAATGATAGTAAATACATGTGCGTGGCTCGAGCTCTCAAACGTAAAATGCAGAACATCGAGACCCAAGCAAGACCCGACACCTAGAGTACATGTCCTAGCTTGGGACCCCACACTTACCCGAATCACGTCCCTTCCAAGCCACGATTTCGCTAACTCGAATCGGCGCGTTTCCACTTTCAGAACGCGTCTCACCCTGGGAATTTACCGTGGATCCTCATATCCCAACTCCTCCACAACCAAAAATCCACCACCTGTCTTTCTGGAAATAGAGAAATCAACAATGTCAGACTCCGAAGATAATTCCACCGCAGATTCAGGCGACTTCCCTTTGCCGCCTGAATCTATAAACCCTTACACAGTCCTCTGCATCCCACCCACCTCTACCGTAAATGAAATTCGAGCTGCATACCGCCGTCTCGCGCTTCAAACACATCCCGACAAAGTACCACCTGCAGAGCGTGAAGCTGCGCATGTCAATTTCCAAGAGGTAGCCTTCGCGTACGCCATTTTAAACGACCAGGACCGGCGTGCACGCTATGATGCTACAGGAAGTACAAGTGAGAATGTCTTTGAAGAGGGGTTTGACTGGAAGGATTTCTTCCGAGCTCAGGTAAAGGATCTCGTGAGTCCGGAAGCTGTAGAGAAGTTTAAGAAGGAATACCAAGGTTTGTTGCCCCTACACGAATCATTGATACCAATTCTTACAAAATATAGGATCGGACGAGGAGCGTTCGGCAGTTCTACAGGCGTATACAGATACCAAAGGTTCCCTCGATGAGATATTTCAGCGCGTCATGGTTTCCAGCGTTCTCGATGATGAGGATCGTTTCAGGATAATGATCCAGCAAGCTATCGATGCCGGCGAGGTAGCAGCCTACAGAGCATTTACCAAGGAGCCTGCAAAATCCAAGAAGGCACGAAGGGACTTGGCCGAGAGTGAGAAGAAAGAAGCAGAGGAATACGCAAAGGAATTGGGCGTATGGGACGTGTTATTTGGGGAGAAAAAGAAACGTAAGGAAGAGCAGGAAGCCGCGGAGGCAGTGGGAGACGTGGAAATGCATGAAGCCCAGGACGATGAGGATGACGATGAAGAGACTACGAGAAATACGAGCGGTAAAGGTAAAGGCAAGGGGAGAACTGCGAAAAAGGCTGAGCCGGTTGGTAGGCCTAGCACGCGAGTTGAGAAGACGAAAGCAAAGAAGGAGGACGACACATCCGCCCTCGAGAACCTGATCAAGAACCGGCAGGCAAATCGACAGGCAGGCTTTCTAGCTAGTTTGGAAGCTAAGTACGGCGTTGATGGAACTGAGGTCAAGAAAGAGAAGAAAGGCAGGAAGACAGGTAGGGGCAGAAAAGCTGTCGACGAGGATCTAGACGGAGATGCCGCGGAACCAACAGAGGAGGAATTCCAAGCTGCTAAGAAAAAGCTCAAAAGCGGAGGAGGAAAGAAGAGGACTGGGGGAAATGGGAAAGCGGAGAACAGCACAGGAGAGAGGCGGTCGAAGAGAAACAAACCTTAATTAGCGTATCGCTGCGTTTACTATACAATTAATCCTCTGTTAAGATACTTGTTTTATTACTGTTGGCCATTTCAATCACATATCACACGCGAATTTGAGGCACAAAATTCTTAAGGTCACGGACAAGTGTTTTGTTGTTATTATTTATTATTATTACTATTTGTAGATAATTAAATAATCCAGATTGGTCTATACCAACCTGGCCCAAAGAAACATCATATTGAGTTTATCATCTGTAAAGAAGTCCGAGTTAGAACGGTGTTCCATCATTGAATCGTGTAGAAACGTATTATTTGAAAACAAAACAAAAAAGAAACATGATATCAGGCTACGGCCCCGGTCAAAGGGCAGATTCATCAATACCCCACGTATGGCGGGGGCTTATGAAGACCGTCGTGAGATTGTAGAAGGGGTATCATCATATAAGATGCTTCTTTGGAGGAGGACAAAAGGAAGGAAAGAGAAAATAACTAACCTTTGAAGGTGGATATCGAGTAGTGGGTGTTGAAGAGTCCTAAAGTATTATTTTCTAGAATATGTTAGTCTTTGTAAAAATGAACAAAAACGTTTAATGGGGAGAATAAGCGGGCAAAAGTCAGACGTTCCAAGTTCTCGTCTTTTGCAAGGATGCTACTCCAGCTCGGACATATGCTTGTCTTTTGTAAAGGAAATATCATCATACAGAATAGGGTAGGGCAAAGTTAAAAACAAATAGGAATCTTACAGTTAATGGTACTGCTGTAAGCCTGTTGTTAGTCATAAATAAAACATTTCCTTTTCTTTTTCCTGCATCTTAAAAAAAGAGTTAGCAATTGTCAACCCAACGCGTTTCTTATATTTAAGAGGGTAAAGCTAAAAGCTCAGATATTGCATGAATGGTATTAAAAGTTTTTCTCGTCATTGGCAAAATGCCAGATATGACTCGTCATCTAAAGTGGATATCATCATTGGAGGGGTGGAAAGCACAGGAACAAGATGGCTTACCTTTTGGTTAGTGACTTCATGTGGAAAATATATTGTCATTACTAGTTGAAAAAGTAAACGTCAGTAATGAACTATCTCCTACGATAACATAGCAGAAAAGACAAAAAGTGCGGGCAAGATGTCAGGGTGGCAGGGTTTCTGAGGCCCATGCCGAAGTTGCGTCTCGATCATTAGATTTCAGAGACCAGTGCTCTTGCAAATCATCATTCAAGATGGCCCGCACGCACGATGTTCACGAAGGAAGAAGAAGTGTTCTTACATTCGTTGATGCATCCATGGTTAACCTGAAATAGATAAAAGTTAGTTTAAGGCGAAAAAAAAAAAATTGTTCTTCGACGTATAAAGAGTGTGGGGAATTGAAAGCTCAGAAATAGCCATTTTATTTCCGCAACGCACCGAAGCACTTGGACGGTAATTTCCAGCGTATATAGTTGTCAAATTGTTCATCTCTGCGATCTGGGACTGAAACAGGGCAAGTCTGAAGGGTAGTGGGGCATAAGGGAGCGAGACTTACCATGGATTCTTTGCTGCTTTCTTGTTGATCGAGGTTAGCATTGTGTTCCTATGTACATCCATCTATTTTAGTTAACAAAGAACCGATAAAGTCTCTTGCAATGTGAGGGACAAAGTGATGATGGAGGTTTCGATATCAGCCTGACGTGCAAAGTAGTTTCACGCCTCAACCCGTTGGGAAGAAGTCAAAGACTCTAGTTATGCGGTTGTACAAATCATCACCAAAGAAACCATTGGTCGAAGAATTGTGGGGATTTGGGAAGACATTTATAAAGAGAGAGGGACAATTGCTTACCTGCTGCATTGTGTATTGATGGATTATGTGGTGCTTATGATAGTGATGAGGTTAATTGAAAAAGGATAAAAAGTGTGCAGCGAATGGAAAATTTCTATTTGTAGCTCGGGTAGTTTTTTTTCACCGCCTTGGCAGCTTTAAGGCGTGGGACTGGTAAATCGACTTAACCCTTAACCTGGTCCCTGGCCCTTCGCCCTCAGCCCTACATACAGCAATGCCGGCTTAAATTTTGATCACGTGGAGATCTACCAATAATTTGACTATTATTTTTCGGCTAAATAAGGCTAAGACTACATGTATGTCCGATGATCCCTAATACCTCAGAACCTTTAAACGCTGTATCGAACCAAACAATTGATCTTCAACCTCGGCCATGAACATTTCCGGTGGCGGAAAATCTCGGAAGGCACCGGTTGATGTCTGGATTCTTACCTTGCCGAAATTTCGCGATGGATCGGAGGTCCGGGGGAAGAAGGGATTGCTTAATTGTCAGATTCTGGATAGGCGGGGGTCAGTTGTATGCAGTAGTTTCTTCTGTGCGTGGGAGCAGAGGGGCTGTACCCGTGATCAAACTTTACGGGTCACTTTTAGATTCTAGCTGGATTCTGCGTCTACTCACTGCATTTCAAAGGCGGAACAATTCAAGATAAGAACGGCGGCTAACAACGGAAAGTCGAGAAAAAGAATAGAAGGGCATCGTGTGCCCAACTTTTATGTAGCACTGGCCTTGTTCGCATCGTGTGCAGAGCTGGGTAGAGCTGGGTAGAGCTCGGTAATCGCAGCAATTCGGGACGAGGAATGGTTGTTCCTTGTGTGCTTCCCTAGTCCCGAGCTTATTTAAATAGCTCGCAGAATTTCAAACTCTCTTTATACAGCAGCTCATCTCAGCATCTCTTCTGGCCCATCGCCTTGAAAGTTATTTACCCTATTGATTCTGATATTCTCACTCTATCCCATAAATCCAGAACACCATTCACAATGGCGTCGAACGGCAAATCAAATGCGGATGCAGAAATCAAAACCGACATCATCACCCTGACCCGTTACCTTACTGAGGCCCAGCATGATCTTGGTTCATATGCTACTGGTGACTTTACGTGCGCTTTACCACCATTTAAAACATCATACCGTCTATAGAAAGCTCATGTCGTGAGAACAGACTGCTATGCCACGCTCTACAATTCTCATTCAAGAGTATTGCGTACGTTAAACCTTATTAAAGATCTATAGAAGTTTCTCGAGAGCTAACTTAAGCTTAATCGTATAGCTATTATATCCGCCGTGCGACTTTGATTAATGTAAGTATATAAAGTGTTCGGTTCTATAGGTAAAAAATGACAAGAGAGCTTATATGTTCTTCATAGCTCATTGGACTTGCTGGCTCTGCCAACTCTACTGGAGACGACCAAAAGAAGCTTGACGTCATCGGTAACGACATCTTCATCAATGCCATGCGTGGTTGCGGTAAAGTAAAGGTTCTTGTATCGGAGGAAGAAGATGAGGCCATAATCTTCCCCGGTAACGGCAAGTACGCTGTTGTCTGTGACCCTATCGACGGCTCTTCCAACTTGGACGCTGGCGTGTCAGTTGGAACAATTTTCGGAATCTTTAAGCTTGACGACGGTGCGACTGGGAAAGCGGAAGATGTTCTTCTTCCCGGAACTGAATTGGTGGCTTCTGGATTCACCATGTACGGTGCTTCAGCCAACTTGGTGCTTACCATGAAGGGAGGAAATGTCAATGGTTTCACACTCGACAACGCTCTTGGAGAGTTCATTCTCACCCATCCCGACGTTAGTTCCCACATGGTTTACTTGGCATATTCTCTACTAACATCTTAAAGATGAAAATGCCAAAATCACGCTCAATCTACTCTGTCAATGAAGGAAACTCTCTATACTGGACTGAAGGTTGCAAGGCATACTTCGAGAGCATCAAGTACCCTGCTGAGGCAGGCGCAAAGCCTTACTCCGCGCGTTATATCGGATCTATGGTCGCGGATGCATACCGAACATTGTGCTATGGCGGAATCTTTGCCTACCCTGCGGATAAGAAGAGCCCTAAGGGGAAGCTCAGAATTCTTTATGAGTGTGCGCCTATGGCAATGGTCATGGAGAATGGTAAGTTCCTTTTTAAACATTCAGTTCCCTGGGCGGTTTGATAACTAGTAGCTAATCGCGATTATTTAGCCGGTGGATTGGCAATCACCAGTGATCGCCAGAGGATGCTTGACCTTGTACCTGAGCACATTCATGATAGGTCGGGAATCTTCATGGGCTCATACAACGAGGTTATGAAAGCAAAAGAGATCCTTGATAAGCTCGATTCTAAGTAAACAATACAGTCTTCTGGGAAGCACTGTATGCAGCTCATTTTTCTGTTTACATATTATGGCATTTGTATTATTGTAGGAAATAGGAGTCTTGGATTTTTTTTTTTTCAGAACAAAATTGTAGTTTGGATGTTCGTACTTGTTAATCCGAAAAGCGTTTGGTGGAACATTCTCACATTGAGTATATATATGTGAGATGCATGGTGTATGTAGGTACCATAAATGGTGATGCAGGTATCCTTTTTACCCGGAGATTTAAATACCGAGTCCCTATGGTTTGAATAGGACGTGATACATAGGTATATTCTGCGCCCTGGTGGGACACAAGTTTTTTTTGTCCCCCCCCCCCCCCCTGCCCGGGCTGCCACATACAAACGTGTAACACGCAAGCACCTACGCACATGTACGTACAGTACTGAGACTCTGTAAATGTTCGAAGGGATCCAGTCGAATGAATAAATGTCGATTTTCAGTAGGCCAATACTTGTTCATATTGGAATGTAAATCGTATTAAGTTACATGCATCGATTTTGACCTCTGACGATCAATTCGAGTTCAAGCCAACGCTACGCTGCGCTATCAATACCTCACATATATACAGTAACAATTTTTCAAAATAATAACCATTTATGGAATTTATCCATTTGGTTTATGCCTTGAACCTCTGCTCGGCAGCCTTCCAATTGATAACGTCCCAGATTGCACTAAAGTACTCAGCCTTACGGTTCTGGTATTGGAGGCTATTGTTTTGTTAGCTTTGATACCTCCTTTAATCTCACAGCAGTCTCAGGAGGAGGAACTCACTAGTATGCATGCTCCCATGCATCAATACCCAACAATGGCGCATATTTCCCAACGATGGGATCCTGGTTAGGCATAGTAACGATTTGAAGTTGCTTGGTCTCCTTGTCCTTGACCAACCAACTCCATCCGCTTCCTTGAATACCAGCAAGTGAAGCATTTACCACCTTTTTAAATTCTTCGTAACTTCCCCATGTCTGGTTGATGGACTCAGCAAGGGCACCAGTAGGGGGCGCTCCACCGCTGGCAGACTTAGGCGCGAGGTTTTCCCAGAAGAGGGAGTGGTTAATGTGCCCACTTGATCAGATATTAGAGTTAGAGAGAGTCCTCTACTGAATTTTCGATGGCTAGGAGCATTTATACCCTCCGTGGAACCTCAATGCAGGATGGAGAGCAATTTGGGCCTTGACGTTCTTGGAATTAACTGCGGTGGCATATTTCTCCTCGGCTTCGTTAAGGGAGTTGACATATGTTTGGTGGTGCTTGGCATGATGAAGCTATGTATTCACATCAGTTGTCTATTCAATTTGCATAATTCAAGGTAGAACTACAGACCTCCATGATCTTCCCCGAAATTGCGGGCTCAAGGGCAGCATAGTCATACGGCAGGTCAGGAAGCACATGCTTAGCAGCAACTGCGGAAGTAGCAAATCCGCGGCTAGCAAAGGCAGCAGGGCGAAGGGCAAGGCGTGCGAAAGACATTTTTTAGAATTATTATTTTTTTCGAATTGTTTGACTGAGATGGTGGTAGTTTCTAAATCTTGGTGGTGGGGCGGGAAAGACGTCATTTTTAATGGTTGTTGGCTGAGTAATTACATGTAGCTTATGATACTTATATCCGATGATCCGATAACCGAGTCCCGGCCACGACATCATCAAACATCACTCGAAATTGCTACCAAATCAGGTAACAGACTGTTAAAACATCATGTGTTGTCACTCGCCAATTACCATGAAACATATTAAGTTCGAAGCTCGAAGAGGTCGCATTGCTACTATAATCCGGGACTAGATGCGTCTGCTACTATATAATATGTAGTTTCTGACGCGTACGTACCAAGACTCGCAACGATCTTTAATTCGGTACACATACTAGACGCAGTGAGTTCCATGGCCACGGGAGGGATGATGTCCGTATATATATATGTGGTTTTGGTTTTCGGATCATTAGAGATGGGATGAATGATGTCTTTCTGTTAATAACGGGAACCAAGTCCTGGAATTGATAGAAATCTGCGAGGTCTTAATTTTACCTAAGCTATATGCAACAAGGCCTCACCAGTTCGCTGCCGCACTCTGCGGCCTCTAATTGACCAAAATGGCCGAAGAATTAATTCTGGGTCCTTATAAATTTTCTCTTAACTTTAAGAAGATTTATAGTTTGTTGGTTGTGTGGCTCTTAGGAATAAGGGTTTGGCCGTGTAGACGCCGGTTTTACCGGATGGGCACTCATATATGTACGTACATACATGTAGCTTTCTCCCAATGATTCTTTTTATGGCGTATATATTTAATTTATCTGGTCACATTTTTTATTTCTAGAAAATCTCTAGGCCTCAATAATTCTCGCACCTATCCAAGAGATTAGCTAGACCTTAGACGTTTCTGGCATTGGGTTCGAATTCTTATCGACCCAGCAGGTACGTGCCGGTTATTACAGTACACGTTTATAGTCGATTGACCGGCCACAACACGCCGCTGTACTGACCAATTGATTCTGGTGATGACGTCGAAGTGTAACCGTATTGCTTCTATGACAATTAGGACCTTTTTCGACCTTCAAGCTTAGGTCGTACATCGTGTTAGAGTTTTTGAAAAGTTCATAACACATATGTATTCATAACTGTTTTCACGACCTTTTACTGAACACCTAAGTATATGACGAGAAAATCCCCCCTCTTAAGAGTTCATACTCTATTCTGATTCCTAGACTTCCGCTATAGCTCTAGTTTCAAAGCTCTCAAGCTCATCACCTCAAAAAAGAATATATACAAGAGGGGTATAAAGTAATTACATAAACGGGCTTCTGGTGGTATATATGTGCATAGCTTTCTGGAAGAGTTCCACCTCTAAACTCATCTAAAGACGGGTATAATGGGAAGATCGCAAATGAAAATGAACCACTCTCGAACATGAAATCGGCAAGGGGCTAAGACTGTACTTGCCCCCCGCTAAAGTAAAGGAGAAGAAGAAAAACAAAAGTGGATATAACCTTTGTTATTTACTTCTTTTCAATAAGTCCTCAATAGCAAGGAATTGCTACCTGCCTTCTCCTGTCCGTTTTTCGAACACAATTTTCTTCCCCTTAAATGCCTCAATTTCCTTCGCAACTGCCCCAACCTCTTTCTTTCCCAACACTTCTCCAATAAGTCCTCCTGGAGTTGGTCGTGGCAATGGGCATTTTCGCCTTTTCCTGCGCTGCTTGTCTTGCAAGAGAGTTGTAGGAGTTGAAGCCGATTCGGCGCGCTCGGGGCCCGTAGCGGGGCATGGTAGTATATGTGGAGCTGCCACAACAAGGAATGCTAATACGGCAGTAGATGTGAAGAGACTAGCTGTCGAGAAAGACTTCGGATGCATTGCAGGAGGCATTTTGAGATGTGTAGTTGGAGCTAAAGTAGATGCCGATTTTTCGGTTTTACGGATGCTGATATCTCTGGATTCGGCTCGTACCGCGGTACCGGTGTGTGTTGGTGGGAAAAGCAAGGAATTGGAGATTTCACGGCAGGTGAAGGACGTTTAATAACAGCTCGACGGGCGGTCTAGGACAGAAGAGAAGAGGTCTTATTATAATGAAAGAATTTTCCCACCAAGGGCCATTTTAACGAAAGATTGGTGGCGGAGGGAGTTCGTTTATCAGACCAGCAAGTGGTGGGGTTGGACTCGAGTATTGCTGTCACGCCAGAAAATCTCGAAGGTGGAGGAGAGAAGGTCGGCACAACACGTTAGCCGTTGTCTCCCTTACCCCACCATCTATGCGACGGTTCGCGCAAGATGAACTTAGAACGCGGGCAGTCCGGATCTCAAAGGTCCAGAAGATTTTCATAGGAGAAAAAGCGATATACCCCGAAAAATCTTGTATATAAATTTCTTTTCTAGAGGAAAATACTAGGTTCAAATGTGAATGCTAGGTATCACAAGTGGTATGCATATTTACTAGTGAATATAAACTCTAAACGAAATCGACATTAACAGAATGAGCCTTCAAGCCTTCTAAGCGGCTAAAGGAAAGAAGCTCTATAATTTCGCTCACAAATGTTCCATATACTGCAAGCGCAAAAACACTGGAGGAGGAAAAAGTAAAATACACTTTTTTTTACGGTATCATTTTTCCCTCTGTCACCCGTCCTTTATCTCCATAGTATCATTTCCATACAAACCACTTCTAATTTTACCTCGCTACTCGCAGAAAGGAAAGAAAAATGCGTAGATGCGACCTTGCACACTAATCTTTTGGGAGAACCATCTACTTTGTGTAAAGATCCCAATTGGTGAGGTTACTTCAGCTTTGCGAAGATCTTGGGGGCGGCGCATGTGGTGGCGCAATGAAGGACGTGGAAGACTATGTTATAGGTAGAAGTTCAAGTCAGTCAGAGTATTAAACGCTGAGAGTATTGAGGCAGCCGCCGAGGTAATGGGAAACTGTACACTCTTCAACGCAGTCCTCCTTTGGGCCGGTAGCATTCTCTTCGGAGGCAGCGGCAGTGACGCGCTCAACGCATTCATCGTAATGGTGCTTGTATGGTCTACATTCCTTGGAGTTGGCGCATTCTATACTGTCGTCAGCAAACTCAATTCGTTTTCTTCGTTCTCAAAACACTCAAAACCTCATTGCCGTGGTGTCCCGGCATTCCCGGATAAAACACAAATCGGAGAAAGGTATACCTTCAGTGATCGCTGGAGCAGGATCCTGGGGTTCCTCCTCCTCCTCCTCCTCCTCCGCCTCTTCCTTCTCAGGCTCCTCCTCGGTTTCTTCCTTCTCTTCCTTGGGCTCCTCCTGCTCCTGGGTTTGTGGTTCCTTCTCCTCAGCTGGTGGCGCTTCAGCGTGGACCTCAGAGATACTGAGAGAGTTGTAGATATCAGAAATGAATGATGAGAGCGACATCTTTAATAATGGCGGGGAAGCGGGGTGGTTGAGTCGATACGAAAAGGAAACGGAACGTTGAAGTTGGCAAAGATTTGATGAAATGACCCGCGGGTGATTGGCGGGGACCTAGATTACATAAAGCGTCTATCACGTGATCTTACCTGGAAAGAGGTTCAAGTAATTCATTTCAGACATTAGGAATGGGTTTTTTTCTTTTCATAAGCTGCATATAGAAGTCTCAAAACAGCATGTAGTACTGCAAATGCAGGAAGACCTGGGCGAATTCAGCAGTTCTGTGTTTTGCTTATTTGTACTACAGATCTAGTAACATGCCTTGAAGCTACGAGCGCATGGATTATTACTAGAGTACATGATACTGCATATTGTGATCGTCAAATGCTTCACACCGGGTCTTTATTTCCACTATCTGAATATTGAGTGCATTTCGCGGCGATCAGGACAATAAGAAACTAATGTCTAAGGGTGTAGCTAAAACCTTGGTAATACTGAAAGCCTTCTGATTATTAAAATGCACAAAACGGGTATTATGGTACATGTAGTATTGATGTTGACGTATGTGGGGTACGTAGAATCTAACAACCTCTTGAGGGTCCAGTGAGACCGGAGACGCCTCGTGCGCGCAGCTGATTCAAAGGGGGTAAGCAAGCCTTGTTTCCAAATTTACCGAAAGGCGCCCAAAATGCTTTATGCGCGGAGCCTTTCTGTGAACTTATCGCGGCTCTGAAAGTGGCAATAACATAGAATACATAAGGTAAATACATGTAGCTGTGGTGGGCACCTAGGTCCATAGAGCACGCCAACCGGTATGGTGCCCTCCTGTACATACAGCTAGAATAATACCACTTATGTATCTGCCAAGGCTTGCAGGGCCTGTCTGTACCACGGAACCGTACAATCCCCTCTTGTTGTAGTCTCAAATCGAACGGGAAGATAGAAGCGTGTACTGTGAAATATCTCTACGCTCCTCATCTTTATCTCCGAACTCGTTCCTTTGGAATATAGAGATAAAGCTTTCCATCTCTTCATCAAAATATCCAGCGACAGCTTTAGAAGCCAGCGCGGCTTTAAGTCCTTGTTTTGTGCTGTGTCGTGCGTGCCTTCGATTGTAAGTCCTAAGACTCGTCGTTGCAGTACCTCCTCCTCCACCATCCATCTACTTGCGCTATCGCTTTCATCAAACATCGATTGCATACTTCATTGTTTCCATCCTCACCAGGCCTTCTTTGAATTTGGGAAGACATCATTTTGTTCATCCTCAAGCGAGGCCGTTTCGTTTGGCTAATTTTGCCGGGTTGAATCATCCGAAAACAAGCTAATTTTTCCCAGTATCAAAGCTTCATCCACCATCCCACTCGCATTATCACTTCACCTGACGAGGTCTCCTCACGAGGAAATTCAAAGCCTTCCTCTTTGCCATCATGAGCAAAATGTCAGAGTACCTGGCGGCCCATATTGGCGCCAACGGGAATGACCAGGCAGCTTCAGGCGCGACCAGTCCTGGAGCCGAGTGGCGGGATGATGTTGAAGGCGACTCGCAGACCCGCTATAGACCCCGATCTTATCCATATTTCAAATATCTTCCTTATAAAGTTGAAGACGAGGCTGAGAGACAGAGGAATCTTGAAGAGATCATCAAGCACCTTTACATCTCTATTGAAGCTGGGGATTTTGCTCCAGGGGCGGTCCATTGGTCGAGGGAGCTCAGAAGTTGGCTGACATTGAAGTTTGATCCTCCACGAAAGACCAGAGTTAAGCTTGCAAAGCTCTACTATGAGCTAGCTATGGCCCCTGGGTTGGATCCTGGAGTTGCCGAGAGATTTGCTAGCATGTTTATGGTCCTTACAAAGTATTTTTCCTACATTCCCTTTGTTATGAGTACCTTTGATTTGCTGCTGGCGTGGAAACACCCACTAGTTTTGTCTCTCATAATGCTGTACGATCCCATAATTATAATGCATGCTAAGAATATACAAGGCGAAAACACTATCTGCGTCCTGGAAAAGACCTTATCTTGGATTGGAGGCCCCTCTTCAAGGAACTCAAAGTATTTGTGCTACCACAGGAGTCAGGATTTGTCCATACAACCTCAATAAAAAAGAACGTGAGGACATTGACGAAAATGTGTTCCTTTGCGCAACTTTATTTTGACCCGGAAGAGATTACATCAATGTTTGAGGAGTTCCTACCTTATGTGAGACTTAGTCTATCCACTATCAATGAGAGAGGAAATATTGATAGTTTGTATAGTTCAGTACTTCTTTCTCAGAAGGAGGTTTTGTGGTAGTTGGACTCTTGAATCTACTTCTTCCAACTGGGCCGCCGCCGCCGGACAACCCGGAGCTACAGCCGTCTTATTATCTTCCCAGTGAGCATTTCCCTTTGCGGAATAAAATATGAGAATCGTAATATTAATTCCGGAATAGCTTTGTTTCACCTGTGGTCACTCGTAAATCGTTCCAGAACGTTTGATGTAAATTTTATGGATATGCTCTCTCGATTGGCTCGAGATATGTTACCATGCAAGCATATTCCATTTAACCAGTATGGTATCTTCACCAAAGAGCAATCCACCTTAATATTCACTGCTATTCTACGACTTTTGGAAATACCTGTTGGTCAAGCAACCTCTCCATACAGCACCGTCGTGGATATGAATATCGGTTTAGCTATGGCCTTGGAGAGAGACCAAAGAAAAAACCCCGTAGCGCATCACATTGCGAGATGGATTGTTATGTCTCTGTCTCCCCACTCACTCAATGAACCAGATTCTATCCTTTCCAACCTCGAGGGTCTAATTCAGGCCGTTGAAACATTCTTTCATCCCTCAAATACAGGCAGCTGGACAAAGACTCTTTCGCAGCTTGTATATTATCTGGCCGATTTCTTCGTTATGAGATGGAATAGGGAGCGAAGTGGCGAAATGGAGGTCCCAGAAGATCGGAAGCTCACCCCCGAGCTCAAGAGACGTTTTGTAATGTGCCTGAAAGAGGTCATTTTTATGGGTATTTATGCAAAGAGCAGCACAGCAATGAGTTTCTCACTATCTTCCCTACAGAGTTTGGCATACCTGGAGCCCGATCTTATTTTACCAGGAGCCTTACAAAGAATTTACCCTAGTATGCAGGGCTTGGTAGAAGTGCATCGAACAACCTCTTCGTTGCGCTCTCTGCAGGTTCTTTCCCGGATCATGGTCAGGACTAGAGGATTTCGAAACCATGTCACAACCTTATTAGGTCTTGCGCTTCCTGGAATTGACGCCAACGATCTAGACAAGACGCTGCATACTCTTTCGTTCGTACAGGCTGTGGCTTACAACATCCCATTCAGAAATCTAACTGAAGATGAAGAGGGTGGGGGGGGTGGAAATTTTCTTGCCCTTGAATGGGTTGGTTCCGAAGTAGAAAGGCTCGAGAGAGAGGGCGCAGAAGTTATGATCAATTATGACGGAGAGCTGGATGATGAGACTGAAGCTGCAATACTCAGATCTTCAACCGCAGGACTGAGCGAATTCCTAATATCATTTCTGGGACGTGTTTTTACCTTATTGGAGAATTTGCCAGATGCGTCTCGGGTTCGTAGCGGTTCTCCAGAAGAACATATTGTTAACACATTACCGGCGGCCTTTACACCTCTTCTTGCTGCATTGTCCCCAGAACTCTATGATATTGCCCTCCAAAAGATCACTGATTTTGTGGGCAGCCATGTCATCCATCAAGCTCGTGATGCAATGGCATTTATTTGCAATTCATTATGTAAAGTGAATCCGGAAAAGGCTTTGAAACAACTAGTACCGGTATTGACTCGCAATATTCGAACGGAAATCGACGAGAATGGCGCTGCTTCAACGCGTAACACAGGTTCTGATGTTCTTCCTAGAGACAGAGGCCTTGTTTGGAACGTGAGCATTTTAAGCATGTGCGTGGTCCATATCGGGGATGCGGTGCTGAATCACAAGAAAGAGTTGTTGGATATCGCAGCGTTCATGCAAAAGAGGTGCAAGGGAATTCCTACAGTTCATGTCTCTAACTTTATCCATCATTTGTTACTTAATTTGACAGTCGTGTATACTGTAGATTATGGACTTGTCGAGCCGACTGAAGGTAGGATTCTAACTCTTAGGGTTGATTAAAAAGCTAACATAATTTATAGTATGCGGCATCCAAGCTTGGGGAAAGGTCTACAATCCTAATGACCTCAGTATCCGCTGGCACAATCCTTCGCAAGCGGAAATTGAATTTGCTGTAGAATTATTCACGTCTCAGGCTGGAAATGCCTTGGAAGCATTGACATCACTCACTAGTGGTGAATCTGACGTGAAACGCGACGGAACCGGAAAGGAATGGTCTGATGAAGTTTCCAGGAATCTAGTCTTACTCAGACTTGTCATCTCGGGAGTTTCTGTGTTATTCGACCCTTTAAGAGTTCCATGTGGAACTCTAGCGGAGAAGGAAAAGAGAGAGGAAGACGTGGAGATGGAAGATGCCGACGGGGAGCCCAACGACGGCCCTAACAGCGATGAGCCCATGGGCGAGGCGCAAGATGACGATGTGAAGCCGACTTACAGATATCCAGCAGGGTATTTCTTCAAAAGTCCCGAAGATCCACTCTACATTACTGTTCACGAATTGCGTGATAAATTGGGAGAAGTATTGCATAAAGTGCATGTCTTTTTGACCAAATCGCAAGAGGACGATGTCCCTTGTTTTAATGCTCTGTATACGGTAAAGGATTTCTGGCTATTTATTGTTGTTTGTTCATTTAAAACTAACTTTGATTTAGGCCTATCGCTCATGGTTCGTGGATATTGGCATCGAGAGATCTGCGCATGTGTTAGACAGAGTGACCCGCCTTTTTGCCGCGGACATTCATCCATTTAAAGTCAGCGGATTGCGAAAAAACTATCCTCGGCCGCTTTTGCTGCGAAGAGCGAATGTTTACCATCTCCAGCGTCTCAGGCATAATGCTGGTCCTCGACCATTATCCGTGATGGACAAAACTCTCTTATTGGACCTTGCAGAATCATGTGTATCACTTTATACTGAGATTCGCCGACATGCACAGAGTGCTGGAGATTCGGCCACGAAGGTTATCATTGGTGCAAGGCCTCTTGTTATCCCACCACTTCTTGCCGCTTTTGAAGAATCCTTGAAGACCAATGATTTCCGGCGCATGAAGGGTGCCATGTATAGTCTTCTATTTGGGTCCCTGGCCAAGACTGCTGGCCGAGATTGGAGATACACCCCTTCGTTGATTAAAGCATTTATTGCAGCAAGTACAGCAGATAAGCCATCCATTCAAAAGCTCGCTACGAATGCTGTTTACCAAGTCATGGATTATGGGCGGCCATTAGAGCGTATGGTAATCTTAAATGAGGAAACCGTAAGAAGAATTGCGCCGAACGAAGATCTTCTTGCTATTATTACCAAGAAACGAGAACAGATTGCAAGGAAAAGAAAGCGGATCGAAAGTAAGAAAGCCGACCTTGCGCTGGAGCTTGTTGAACTTGCGAAGAACTCGCATTGGAAGACTGCCAGTCGTACGGCAACTGTGGTTGTCAATCTCGGGCTGAGATTCCATACAGTCGCGCCAGATTCCATGCTAGAATTAACAACCAAGGGAACTATCGATAGTCATCCTGGTCTAAGGGGTCTATATTCAGGGGCTTTAGTCGCCTTATTCTGCCTTATCGAGCTCAGGGCCACCTGTGAACACAACTATCGGAATTTCCTCCTGGATAAGCTTACCCTACCAAATAAGCTTTTGGTACCGACTAGATCAGATGATCCAAATTGGACTGAAGAATTCTTGGAATCTTTTACGAAGCCAGACGCACAATACTATGTGGACCACGATTACCCTGGGTGGCTGGTATGGGGGAAAGACTTTCCAGCATACGAAGTAAATTCAAAGGAGGGACTGCAGTTTGATGAAGTTGAGACAAACGCCCGCAAGACGATCGCGAATATTCTTGACAGAAATTGGTTCAGATCCTTCTTCGAATATCTCAAACAAGAGCCCCGCGATGGATCACCAGATCGATTCCGAATGGCCAGCTCAATGTTGCTGCAATTTGCTTTTGAACTGGTTAGAGATGGATTGACGCCTGTAACTTACAACGAAATTAAGGAAGAGACTGCTGCAGTTTTTGAAGATGGAAGTGATAAGCACCAACACCGAGCAACCGCAGAGATACTTGGAGCTCTTGTTTCTGCGTACAGGGATTCTACAGTCGAGAACCGGGATGCGATGTGGAATCATGTCTTCCCAATTGTGAAGGGAATATTCGAGGATGGCCTCACTCCAGAGAATTCATCGTATTGGTCTTCATTCTTACATCTTGTTCTGGTAGGTTAACTGAGGTCCTGGGCATAACTCGCGCATTTTTCTGACTTCATTTACAGCAAGGGAAAGATCTTAGGCGGTCATGGCCCATTGTCGAATGGCTGACCAATTTCAGATTAGATATGAGCTCGAATGCTGCATTCAAGGAAAGCTCCAAGGTTCAACTTTTGCAGCAGTGTATTCTTGAAGCTGGGTGGCATTTTAGATTGGAAAAACCAATTTTGGAAGATTTCCTCAAGCATATTGATCATCCATACAAAGGTAATTAATTAAGCCCATAAACCCAAATTTTCAATAAACTGGCATGCTAATATCCTCGGCTGTAGGTGTAAGAGAGGCAATGGGGCAAACATTAGGAAGTCTTTATAGATCCAGACATTATGAGTCCTATAGAAACGTGAAGACCCTGATGGATATCCAAGGAAAGATCTCATCGGTTGGAAGTACTCCGTACAAACCAACTTCAGAATTTTCCGAAACAATTGCCGATGTGTTTAAACGACTCGAGAAATGGCGCCATGAACGCACACCTGGCCAACAAGCTCCATCATCATACACGGCAGGAAGTAAGACAGTGCTTCTATGGCTAGATACAACTCTGTCATCACACGAATGCACGCAGTTGATCTCTTTCTTCCCAGATATCTTCATGGGCGAGATGCTACACATGATGGATATCAAAGAAGACCCGGAATTGATGTCGCTTGCGTATCATGTGTTCAGACATCTCCCCAATATCCCGCTTCCCTACAAAGAAGATCATTCCTTTATTTCGGCTCTTATTCGTATCGGAACTACATCACCTTTGTGGCATCAAAGACTGCGGGTTTTAATCAACATGCAGGTCATATACTTCCGGCGCCTGTTCCTTATCACTGCCGAGGAGAAAGAACGAATTTTCACTTGTGTTTCAACCATGCTAGAGGACTCGCAGCTCGAGGTTAGGCTTGGGGCTGCGACAACACTTTCCGGGATGGTCCGATGCTCGCCAGTCCGCCTCCGGGAGGGGATTGTGCAAGAACTCAAGAAAAAATTCACCAAGATGTTGAATAGCAATCGATTGCCGAAAAGGTCGCCAGCTGGGACCCCAACACCAGATTATAACCGCATAATCTTGCTCCGGCACGCAGCAGTACTTGGACTCGGCGCTTTGGTACAGGCATTCCCTTACACATCTCCACCACCTACCTGGCTACCGGAAGTTTTGGCAACTCTGGCAGTAAAAGCTGCAGCGGACCCAGGCATGGTGGGTAAGAGTGTCAAGTCAGCTTTGGGAGAATTCAAAAAGACTAGACAGGACACCTGGCATGTAGATGTGAAGGTATAACATTAATATACCATACCCTGAACCAATCTCTTACTAATATTCTAAATCATATAGGCCTTTACTTCGGATCAGCTTGAAGACCTTGAGGGTGTACTGTGGAAGAGCTACTTTGCTTAAACACGGAAAACAGAGTATCGTGGCTGGGGGAAAGTGGGCAGAGAAATATGCGTTCTACAGTGGAGTCGGTTCAGTGTGCCTTTCTTTTATACTAGAGTTAATACGCAAAGGCTATAAGGCTGTCTCTTTTATCTTCTTCCCTGATAAGCCCTTAGTCGAATAAAACTCCTAGCATTTGGGCACTAATGAGGATTTGGATCTGTAACATAAATATCTTATCATTGCATTGCTAGCTCGTCTGAAGGTTTGTATTGTGGGCTATAAATAGGCGCACGTGTTACTCATACGTACTTCAAAATACCTAAATCATTTGTTACTAATGCTCCTTCGTTCGTTTTAAACTCGGAAGTTTTTGTTGGGGCATGTGGTGTCACTCGGAAAGCTTATTTGCGGGCCAAAAGAGTTCGCGGATAGCGACATGGAGAACTCGAGTACAACGCATCTAAACTTGCATGTATTCACAGTTTGTGCTCGGGTATAGTACAAGAGTTATCAATCCATCGGCTCTTTTTCATTTCGTTTGTCCACCTCCTCGGCTTGGCGGCGATATCAAACAGCTCTGTGGGGTGATTTTATAACTTCATGTGTTGACTATCTGGATGCCGTTCTTTTTTTGTTGAAACCCCGTCGAAGATCTTCCTAAATTTACATCACACTGCATGAATCTGCATGCTGTGTCCCCACACGGAATTATCTCAAAGAGAGTTCCTACATACATAAGTTGAGCCCAGCAGATCCGGGGATTTATGAGTACACTGGACTACCAGTGTACTCTAGTGTTCAGCAAGTCGACTCCGTGAACTGGTGAGCGCAACGCTCTTGTAAGCAGCAGTGTTCCGGTTTTAACATCCAACGCACGTGCCCATTAACTTCTTCTTATCCAGGTAGGTTCGTCAGTCACGATGAGCTACTGACTTCACGACGCTGGGACATGGCATGACCCAATCGGAATATGTCTGACAACAGATATTTTGTAGTCAAAGTTTGCGCCGTATGTATCTTGCACCAGTAGTCGGGATGGCCCATGCATGTCCTAGGAGGGTAGAGAGGGTGTATCGTAAGATAGTAGATACCGAGATTTCCTATGGATCTAAACGTGGCAATCCTGAAATTCTAGGTTCTAAACTCCATACTAGAAAGCCGTGTCTGCCTTTTCTGCCTTACAAGCGCACGTAAGCGTAAACAATTGGATGGTTATAGGCACATATTGTGCAGTAGGAGCGTACACACCTAAAGTACATACATGTAGGTACTCCAAAGCAGAGTTCTGTAGCTTGTGGGTGTAAGAACTAGAGCACAATATAAGAATGTAGTTTATCTCTGTGCCGGACCTGGAGCAGCGACTTATTCAGTTGGTTTACAGAAGAGAGATTACTATCTACATGTTAGGGTGGTTAGTGCGCTACATGGCTACATGGGCCTGGGATGCGGAGTTTGTGACGACACGGGCCAGGTGCCCTTTGGTTCTGCCGTCGCATATTAGCGACAACTTACAGCTCTCTCCCATCGGATTTTTTTCTCATCATCCGTCCCACACACATAATTCACACCCCCTCTCTCCTCTTCCCCTTCTTACCCTCTTCATCCCCCATTCGCACTCTTTCAACCCCGCTTATTTTACTTACACTGCTGGTTTCCTCTGTGCTCCTGAGGATTCGGCCATATTCAGCTCACTGTATTCACCCATCCAGGCGAGCCGCTGAGTGCAATTACTTTCTTCGGACCAGCTGTGGTCTCATTCACAGATCGAATCCCGAATCCTGCTGCATTGTCACAAGTTAATTCGTCCCAGAGACACTGTTGTTCTTCAATCTACTATAGGCTTTTTGTGCTTGGTATTTACGAGTCCTTCCTGAAGTACTTCATCGGATAAAAGCTTTCAGAGCTACTCTTTTTTTTTTTTTTTTTTTTAACAACGCAATTCGACTCACATGCGGATTCTTTGGCAATAATTTGAAAAAATAATTCAGAAGTACCATTGCTGCTACAATTAAACATCGAGTAAGATATTCTGATAACCCTACCAGCTTTCATGACAGCTTTTATAATCCTAACATGAGGATGATTCAGCAACATTACACATTACGTATCCTAAGGGAGGAAGAGGGATCTGACGTACAAATTTGCATGCCTCCCGAGGGAAGAATTAGTTCGCGTAGAAGCCTGGAGGAGAGAATGGACTATCTCCCACCTCGCCAGACCAGAAGTTATCATCAGTACAACAACAGCAGTCAGGGATACTCCAGATCAAGGTCGATCGATAACCGCGCAAAGCAGCATAGTCATCGCGAGCAGGAACAGCTTGAATACGACGATAGCACTCCAGCTGGGTTCAATATGGAGGACATATACGAGGAACAGCAAAAAAATGAAGGTCCCAACAAGAATCTTGAGGATCGCATTTCTAATTCCATGCCTGATCAAGATTATAACGGAGATGCCTCCCCGGGAGCGAATGAAGATATCGATCAAAACGAAAGCAATTCTACAAACGGGAACCAAAGGATTTTGGGGTCTTCTAAGGTACGGGCGACTATCACTGTTTATAGAAAATTCACTAAATTTCGTAGGAGGATGTACAATCGACCCTTAACAATGAAATGGCGGGTGACAATCAAAAATCTGGATATTTAGGGCTCAACACGAATCAGAATGGTGGGATGTCTAGAGGTTCGGCTGACAAGGAAACGAGTCCAACTACTTCCAAAGACTCTTCAGCCGCTTCTAAAGATGTAGATCCGAACGAGTTACGTCAGAAAGTTCTTGAGTCATTGGCTGAAAAGAAGAAAAAGGCAGCTGTTTTTATGAATCAGGAGAAAGAGGGAACTGGGAAACTAGACCCTTCCCCAGAAATTAAGACGGTATCTGCTGCAAGCAATGGTGATCATGCCAGCGGTGTGGAGAATAGTCAACGTAAGGGATCTGCATCTAACCCTGAGCGTGATGCAGCTGTCAACGCTCTTTTAGCTGAAGCCATGTGCTCGGTAAAACCATCATCTGGTAAATCGGATACCACATCTACCGAACCATCCAAAGCTGGACTTAGATCCCCTATTGAGGACTCATTTGACCCAGCTCCTCGCAAGAAACACTATCCAGATGACTTGAAGCTTGCCACAAAGTCGACAGGAAATGAGCACCATAAAAACGCTTCCCCCAGGACAGGTCCAGATCATGATCCTGACTCTTCTCGTCGGAGCAGTTTTGGAGGTCAATATTTCCCTTCAAATCGGAATGAGAAGCAGTATCGAGGAAGGAATGCTTCTCGGGAAGATTACAAGGAAGGTCACGGTGGCAGTTTCAGTCGCACACCAACTTCAGCGACACGTTCAGAATTTTCTCGGGGTCCACGTTATGAACATGAAGAACGGGATAGAAGAGATGGCTCCCGCCAAGATGTTCGTCATCGATATGAAGACCCTCCGCTCTCGGCAAAAGAATTAAGACACCCAGGGGAAAAAATAAGCCCGTCTGATAGAGAAGGTCGAAGGAGCGATAGTGACCATCGTGGCCATTATGCAGAAGAAGAGGAAAAAGTTCGTGGACGCAGAGATGATCAATTATACAAAATTCCAGAAGCGCCCAGAGATGAATCTAGGGACCCCTATTCAAGAGCTTTAAGGCACCAACAAACAGCCTGGCATGGGCAGGACCTTGGGATCGAGGCTTCTTATCTTGCTAGGCCTCCTAGCCACTATCTTCCTCCCCGCGACGATCCTCGCGTGATCCGTCCTCCAGAAACAGATTACGCTGCGCTTTATTACAGGGATTTGGCGGAATGGCTTGATATTACCGGCTACCACGACTTTCATCATCGTCAGATGATTCTAGTACGCCACCGCGATAACAGGGCTTTAGAGGAAAGAAGATTGGCTATAGAAGATGATCCAGAGGCCTCAAGAGGATATATGGCACGTTCGCAGACAATTGCTCCTCGGGATGACGATATAAGAAGAGTGCGTGCATCTTCTGCATATGCTATGCCACCGCCATCAGGAATACCATCCCGTGATGAGCGAGAATTATCTGTCCGTGCTCATGAGGGTGTGCCGCTTCGCGCCCCATCCAGGGCAGCTATGTATCCACCTATTCCAAGGGATGAAAGACCACGTTATACAGATGAATTTCGGGCATCTCCCCCGGGCGATGCTGGAAATCTTAAGAGGCGGATCTCCTTTCGCGAGGATGATTATGAAGATCAATCCCGCCCTACTGGAAAATCTGCTCGTCTTAGCTATGAGGCTTCGCACCGTACACCCCAATCAGAAGAATATATCAATAATGAAGCATTTGGTGCACATAACAAGGGCTTTTCCAGTGCCCGTTCTGGGCATACAGAGCCTGCTGACAATAGACATCCATCGAGACGTATCAAGGAAGAGCGTTTTGAAGATACTGAGGATGAAGCCTCTGCCGTGCGTCAAAGCTTATCCAAGAGAATTGCTGCCAGTCGTGGCCGCGAGGCATCGCCACCAGCACTTCTAGAAAGTCGTATCCGGAAGCCGAGCCCATCTCGTCGTGTATATGAAAATGACTCACGCAAGGAGGGTTTCGTCAAGCGGGATCATGAAGACGGTGCTACAGGGCAACCAAACAAGTTCCACAGAGAGGACGGTCGTCCTCAGCGCAAGACATTCGATAAAGAACATCGTACTCCGGAACAATCGCCTAGGTTTCAAAAAGAATTTCAAAAACCAGGCCGTGCAGCTTCTGGGAAGTTTGTCCCTCGGGATGAATTTCGAAAGCCCTTCCAACCAAGGCGTTTTTCTGATGAATCTCACCCAGGAGGTAATATAGGTCGACGACCTTCGTTTGAAGATTTCAAGAAAAAGCCATATGGTCGGGGTCGTGGTCGTGGTGGCGGGGGTTTTCATAAAGAATTCCATCCTTCCACTCGTCATGAAAATAAGGAGTTCTATGCCGACACTATGGATGTCGATAGGAGGCCAGAACATACCATTGGTAAGTCGACTGTGTCTTAGTGTGTCTCCATAGTTACCGAAATAAACTACCAAACCATATTGCATTCATGGCGTGGCATTGAGCGCTAGTTTGAATCAGGTAGTGAATTTCGGTAACTATTGCAGTATTTTTTTTTGTAATAAAAAAAAAAGGTTACTCACAATTTACCGTCTTGATCTTTTAGATACAAGGGGTAATGATACGAGGTATTTTGTGGTAAAAAGTTTTAATCACGATAATGTGACAATGGCGCAAAAAGATGTAAGATGAGCTTTTTCTGCCATGTTGGTTTTGTGACCTAATGGTATTGCGTAGGAACTTTGGGCAACGCAAAAGAAAAACTCGGAGATCTTTGATGAAGCCTTCAAAACTTCACGTGACGTTATATTAGTCTTTTCTGTCAACAAAAGCGGGAAGTTCCAAGGCTACGTGAGTTTTTCATAGCCACCCACTCTACCTATGATTCATGTGTTAACATAATGAAGGCCCGTATGGAATCTGCCCCTGGAACAGCATCGGTTCCTATCTGGGCCAAAAACCTTCTCTGGGAATCTTCTGGGCCGTTCCGCATTCGCTGGATCACTATTTGTGACATTAGCTTCCACCGAGTAGCACATCTTACCAACCGGTTGAACGAGGACCAACCGGTCCTTATTGGACGTGATGGGCAGGAAATCGATACTGATTGTGGTGCTGCTTTGTGCAAGCTAATCGATGAGAGCGCTGCTTTCCGTCGCTCCTATACCGATAATGGTGCTGGAAATTAAAACGACTGATTTACAAGAAATACTGGGAGGCTACTTGATTTTTTTTTCAGTTTGGGAGATATAAATCACGAAATGACTGGGAGAACTTCTTTCAGTGAACAGATTTACCTGAGATTGCTTTTAATATTTGGCTTGGTATCATCTGAGGCCCCAAAAGGACCTTTTCAAATCCTGTTTTGGGTACTACCTACCTCGTTTTTGCTGCGAGTTATAAAAAAAAAAAAAAACATGGAAACAATTAGCCCGGAATGAAATCAGGGAAATATGCAACGAGAAAAGAGGAATGAAAATCTACGTCTGTCACCTGGAATGTGTCAGCTAAAGAGAAATTCGGAACAATGTGCTACAATAAAGGATACGAGCTAGGTCATAGTTGGAGAAGACAGATCAAATGTACGAAACGGCGTCATGAGTCGAGAGGTTGAATCAGTTTTCAAATTTCCTTTTCTTTTTCTTTTTTCTTTCCTTTTTCCTTTTTTCTTTCGCTCTTATCTTCTCGTCATCTATTCTTGATGATGAACTTCCTTTGGTGTTTAATCCTTGTTGGTACCAATTATTCTGGAAGAAGAAGAAACGGCTTCTCTCTTCCACACTCTATGTAGATTTTTGAATATCAGGCTAGTCATTTTTAATAAAATTGGAGTAAAAACCCAAGGTTACGGCCATAACTTCCTAATTATAATTACGATAAGGAAAAAAAAAAGGAAAAAAAGAAAGAAAAAAACTTTAATCCGGAATCTAGACGCAATCAAGCGCACTCATAGAAATTAAACTCTAAATATCTATCCAATAAACTCCAATCCCAATGCCTTGTTGTTACAAAACCAGCCTTAGGGCTCGTTCCCAATCCTGTCTCTAGCTCTCCCTCTCAATACAACTGTTACAGCTCCCTAACACTCTCGCTAATAATATCCAACACATCTTCCAGCAGCGTCAAATCGAACTCCTCCTCAAACTCTTGAATCTCTCTTATTTCTGCTCCCGAGGTATTCGTTAGCATTGCACTACTTGCATTCCCGGGTAAGGGGAGGGGGTATACCTTTCGGCGTGATACCAATATCGCGGAACACTAAGCTCTCGTCGGCTTCGACTTTGTAGTCGTCGTAATTGCTGAGGCCGTAGGGCATGCTGCCGCTGCTGAAGATGGGGACTGAGAGCGCGGTCTGTGATAGGGAGAGGACAAGGAGGGTGGCAGCGGTGGGGAGTTGGAAGTGGAAGTACATGGTGGGAATTATTTGGTTTGGGTTGGTTTGGTTTTTTGATCTTGAGGCGAGAATTAATTAAATTTTGATTCAATGGCAGAGAGATCTACTCTAGAATACTGGGTTGGCGACTCTGTTTGGATGTAGGCTTCAAAGGAATAGTTTTCCGATACCAGAAGGAAAATAGGAAGATGTCTCTACGAGTATTATATACCGCTTCGATACTTCAAAGGATATTTTTGGAAGCCCTGTATATGTTGTTGTGGCATCGTCTTTGCCTCAGCGTCATGAGATCTCACCGGTGTGCGGGTATGTATGTGGGCGGTTGTGGATATATAAACTGGGAGTAGCGAAGAGAGAGGGAGGCTGAAACAGTGAGATGTAAGCATGGCGGAGGCGGCGTGGTGGTGGGTATTATGGAGCGTGGGTGGAGGGAAGGGAGGGGAGGGAAATTTTTTTTTTTTGGGGGGAGGGAGGGACTTAGAGTGCTTATGTGGAGTGTAGAAGTAAAGCTGCGCCAGAGTCCGGTGGGTGTGGGAATGTGGTTGTTTGGTTGTTTCTGGGAAGAGGTTGTTACTTATCGTGATCCTGGTACCCGATAGCTAGGGATGCTACATTTGTATCGCAATCCCAAATCTGGACTCTCGAGTACAGGAATGGAGGATTCTAACTAACTATTGGGTTGGAATGTGACTTTACTACTATTTATCTATTACCGGCAATCCACGATACCTACATGTATGTATGTATGTATGTACCCCTTCGTGCATGCAATGATTCCGGCTTCTAGAATATCGATATCGAAGCCTAGCCTGCACCCATGTGGTGGAGAGCGTTGAGTGCTATTTTTAACACCTTGGCGGGGATACAGACCTTTGATCTTGCGCCGCACCGCGAGGGTAACGTCGACTGCATACATTCATACATGTACCTACATACGGTTTTATGGGAAACGCACCAAGATATATTTACTTTTAGTAATAGTCGCAGGAGGAATATGATATCGCCAACCATTGAGATTGAACGGTGAACCTGCAGATCATTAGCTAGCTCGACAGCTCGCCTATGCAGCCAAGACAAGACAAGCACACATCCGGAGCTCCCCACTCGTCAGCACTCACCACCGCTCAGCACCCACACCGCACTCCACGCACACAAACACATACACAACCCACAATGCCGCCCAAGCGCGCCCCCGCCCCCGAGATCAAACCCCCGTCGACTTCTCGCCCTCCCTCGTGCTCGCCGACAGCGCAACCCTCACAGGCACGCACCGCATCCGCATCGGCGCCAACACGGTCGTGCACCCGCGGTGCAAGCTCAACAGCACGCTCGGCCCCATCACCATCGGGCGCTCGTGCATCATCAGCGAGCGCACGCAGCTCGTTGCGCCGGACGCGCAGGGGCTCGCCATTGGCGATGGCGTGGTGGTGGAGGTGAATGCGCTTGTGGAGGCGAGGGAGGTGGGCGAGGGGTCGACGGTCGAGGTGGGCGTGAGGGTGGGGAAGGGGGCGTGGGTGGGGAAGGTATGGCTCTTTTTTTCCTTTGCTTGGGGGTGATGGGGGGGGGGGGGGGGGGAGAGAGGCTAATCGGGGTGTGTGGGGAGGACAGCATTGTAAGTTGGCGCCGCTGACGAGGGTGGCGGATGGAGAGGTGCTGGAGGACTATACGGTGCTGTATGGCGCGGGAGAGAGGAGGATCGATAAGTCGGGGCAGGAGGGCGCGCGGAGGAAGCTGCTGGAGATGCATGTGGAGAGCTTGAGGGTGCTGATCCCGAGTAATGCGTCAAAGTGGATGTCTTAGGTCTTGGAGAAGGTTGTCCGGAGAGAGGGTGGGAACTAATGAATTGCTGTTTGGCGTTATAACTTGGGAATTGAGGTGCGCTTTGCATGGAGAAGAAGGGGGTTATAATGGTTGTAGGGTTAGGGCAGATATCTGGCTGGAGAAAAAAAAATTGAACCTCCTCCTTCCCTAGCCAGCTCCTCTTGAGCATATTTCTGTCTTCCAATTCAATTCGGGTTCCAAAGCAATTCCAGTTGTGGGGTAAATACAGTCCTTTCGCCCCAGCTTAGGAATTATGACACATTCGTTTCCCCTTCCCTCTTGTATATTCTTCCCCCGCCCCGCGCTACTAGCTAGCCGGATAGAACTTTAGGCACACCTTATCACTCCCCTTCGACCATCTTCCTCTTCTTCGGGTGTTAATTTGCAGCCTTGTGATATGAACAATTGCAATCGAACCCAATTAACTGCTCACTCGTGCGTAAGGCTTGCAATTGTGGCTCTGTGGAATATCGAATTCCGTTTGTGGATTTCCACTACTATACTTGTGCGGTGGTAGTAGCAAGTGGTGGCGGCGGTGGTGGTTAAGGTTAAGGTGGTGAGGATTCCGTAAGACCTCGCGCCGCGCGCGGGCTAGAGATATCCGCAATTAACAAGAGTTAACGACTTATTCACCACCCCACCTCACCTATAGTTCGAACGAGAAGAGAGTATCCGTTCAACAGGTGCTGAAGAGGGTCCTAGACCATATAGTCAAGCGACGCAGCATCCAGCATTCCCCCAAACTCATGTAGATCAGCGTGCGAGTGAGAAACAGTGAAGCAACGATCCCCATCCCCACAGGCTATACTAGCAGACCCTGCCAAGGAAAAGAAGAAAAAAAAAACTTTATTTTTGTGTCCGGCGTGAGCGCTAGCTGTATGTGGACGGATGCGTTTAGTACGGCGGGGCTCGTCTCGTCTCGGAGATCGTTTCGGAGATCAGCTGGATGCGATGCGGGCTTCATGGGGCCTCACTCGGCCATTCTCTCTCCATTCTCTCTCTCTGCTCTCCAGATCTCATCTATTATTTATTAAAAACACCCACTACTACTACTACTGCTGCTACTACTACTACTACTACTAATCTATAACCCCCCGCTAAAAAAGAATACACGCCCCCAAAACCAAACCATTACCACCACAACAATCACACATGCACCTCATCGTCCCCCCGCGCCACACCCACCCACTCGCCGCTCTCCAGCTCCTCCTCGTCCCGGTCGACAGACACCCACTCCTCGGCGCGCAGCCCCGCGAGACACGCCTCTGCTGCCCGCCGTAGCTTTCTGGGAGTTGTTGTGTGTGCTGTGAGGGTTTTGAGGAGGGTTGTGATTGTCTGTTTGCGTTATGTTAGTGGCGTTGTGAGGGGGGGTGGTTGTGGGGGGGGGGGGGGGGTAGCGGTGGTGGGGATTTTTTGGGGGGGAAGGGGAGGAGCATACACTCATGTCTTCGAAGCCGCGCTGGTGGAGCGCCTCGAGCGCGTGTTCGAAGCTGATTACGAGGGCCATGTCCTGTGTTTTAGTTAGTTAGTGGGAGGGAAGGCAGGAGGTGGGGGATAACGTACGGCGGCGGTCGGGGGTGCGCCCCGGGTGCGGAATTCGCGGAGGAGCCATTTTGTGGCGAGGGTGTGGTGGAGGGCGGTGAGGGCGTGGAGGAGGGTGTCGGTGGGCATTTTTGTGGGGGTTGGGAGTGGTGGAGGAGGGTTGGAGAGGGGGGGGGGGGGGTGGGATGGTTTGGCTGAGGGGAGGTGGTGAAGTATATCAGGGCTGGTATCGATGGGATGGGGATGCAGGTACATAGGGGGTGCGCTAGTATTGTGGTGGGCTGGGATGTGCTGAGACATTTACAGGCACGCTCTGAGTTGAATTAGTTGGTGGTTGACTACACAAGGTGAGTTCTCTTTTTTTGTTTGCACTTGCATGCGGCTGCTATTCCGGGAGTGTTTGTTGCACGTGAAATAGGCATTTAGATACTTAGCCGGAAGGAAAGCTTGGGATGACGTGGAGCCGCACGTCGCTGCTGCAGAATGAATTCGAATGAATGCGCCATCCGATAACAACCTGTTCAAACCTCAACAGAAGCAGAGGAGAGAAACACCCCCCCGCCACACACACACATATCTATCTACAACTTCACGTCCTCACCCACGGCCTTGCTACATAGATAGATAAACCACCTCCCTCCCACTCACCCCTATTGACACTGAGCACTCCATATCAGCGCCCTCACAATACCCCCCCCCCTGACACCCCCCCGTGAACCCACCGCCGCCGCCGCCATGCCCGCAACCCTCCACGGCTCCTCCCGCACCCGCAAATGGCTCCTCTCCTCCCCCCCCATCGAGTACGTCATCTCGCTCACCCAAGAGCTCCTCATCAACGCTCTCCGCCAAGGACCCGTCCCGCAACACATCGCCTTCGTCATGGACGGCAACCGTCGCTTCGCGCGCAACAGCCACATCGAGACCGTCGAGGGCCACAACATGGGCTTCGAGGCCCTCGCCAAGATCCTCGAGGTGTGCTACAAGAGCGGCGTCAAAGTCGTCACCATCTATGCCTTTAGCATCGAGAACTTTAAGCGGCCGCTGCATGAGGTGAACGCCCTCATGGAGATTGCGAAGATCAAGTTGGGCCAGCTGTGTCAGCATGGGGATCTGATGGATCGCTATGGAGCGAGTCTGAGGGTGCTGGGGCATCTGCCGTTGTTGAGGCCGGATGTGTTGGAGGTGATTACGCAGGCGACGGAGATGACGAGGGGGAATAAAAAGTGCGCCTCTTCTCCTCCCTCTCCCCTTCTCTCGCCATAGGTAGTGAGCTATAGACACTGACAGAGACAACAGGGCGATCCTAAACGTCTGCTTCCCCTACACCTCCCGCGACGAAATCACCACCGCAATCCGCACCATCGTCTCCCTCTCCACCACGCCCTGCACCTCCACTCCCCCCCCCGGCTCCCCCACATCCGACAAATCCAGCAGCTCCTCCACCACCACCACCTCCTCCTCCGCCAACTCCACCACGTCCTCCAAGACGGCAATACCCTCATACATGGACATCGAGTCCATCACCGAGCAGACGCTCACGGACCACATGTTCACGGCCGACTGCCCGCCGCTCGACCTGCTCATCCGCACGTCGGGCGTCGAGCGGCTCAGCGACTTTATGCTCTGGCAGTGCCATAAGGATACCGAGATTGTGTTTTTGGAGTGTCTGTGGCCGGATTTTGATTTGTGGAAGTTTTTGCCGATTTTGGTGGATTGGGGGGTGAAGTGTCGGAGTAGGGGGAAGGCGGGCGGGGGCGCGGGGGGGTTGGATGTGGTGAAGGAGGCGTATTAGGGGGTGGTTGTAGGAAGGGGGGTTAATAGACTCTTTTTTGATTGCTTGTGCCTTTTTTTCTTTGCTTTTTCTTTTTTTGTGCAAAGTTGTTGTTGTAGTGCTGTAGGAATATACCAATGTTTTATGCGGTTTATAGTAAATTGTAACGCTGGCGGCGCTGCGTGCGGGCGCGGGCGCGGTTATGTGAAGTCAAGTAAGGATGGCGGTGAGGTTGGCGTTGTGGTTGGGGTTGTGGCTGCGGGAAAGCTGTGCGAGTGATGGCCTGTGAATGTACTCCCATCACAGACCAATTGACCCCATCTGATCAACTAACCAACCTCCATCATTAAACCCACAACTAGAGTACAGTACCAATTGCAAATACAGCATGACCAAAAGTAGGGCTACAGGGGGATCGCTTGTACTTAGTATGTACTTGCTGCTAATAGTAAGTAAGTACATGTAGCTAGTCGCCCCCCAAGAAGGGCCGGTGGGAACGGTGCGTGTCGGGTTGGCCTGGCTGTAGTTGTAGGACGTATATGGGCGGCAAGTAAAGTAGGGGGGCCCTAGTGTAGTGCTGGGTATGTGTGTGTAGGTTGTCCCTGGCGCCCACTGGTCGTGATCTGGTTCGTGGGTGGGTTTATGTACTCCCTCAGTTTAATTTCACTAGCTAGCTAGCTATAGCTATAGACTAATGCTTTAGTGATTGGCGCCGCGCGCAACCTTTGCCGGCTATCTTGAGGCTTGAGAGTGGAAGGTGGAAGGTGAGGGGGGTGGGGGGGGTGGGGGGGGGGGTGGGGGGGGGGAGGCAATGGGTAATAATGGTAGTAGCAGGATTAACTCTTCGATCGTCGAGGGGTCTATATCTATATACTAGCTGTGGAGAGATTGTTCATGGACCAGTACTGGCTGTGTACTGCATACGCTGCTAGCTAGCTAGCTGACAGGTGGGCCAGCTGGGCCGCGGCCGCGGCTGCGGGGGGAGGAGGAGGAGGCGCGATCGAGTGTCTTCTTTTATTCATGTACATGTATGTGTAGGTGGTACATTATAGCCATCTACACATAGCTTATATCTCCTTCTCCTATACTACAAAAACGCCGGGACGAGTAATCAAAAATTTCGCAATTAAATGCGCGGGGGGGGGGGGGGGGTTGCTGGTTGGGTTTGGCTAGCTAGCTAGCTGGGCTGGGCTGGGCTGGGCTGGGCTGGGCTGGGCTTAGGAACAATTGCTGAGTAACTACATGTACATACATGTACTAAGAAAAGGGATAGTGGTCAATTCGGCTTGCATGCAGGTGCGCATGGTTCCGGTTCCTATTTTTTGAACCGTGCCCGCTCATATATATATATATATATATATATAACCTATATTCATACCTTAGTTTACCAGTAAACCTCAAAGTAGTAGACATAGCTGTTGCCCGAACACCTTTTTTCAGTTTTACTTACTTCACCCTTAAGTCACCCTTTGCCTTCGCAGTTCCAGCTGTAACGTTATAACGACGGAATCTACTATCCCTTATTAACCCGTCAATTGCATTTGCTAACCCCGCCCCCCCCCCCCCCCCCCCCCCCCGCGCGGGTTACTATATAGGGGGGTTGAATTTGTAGTGGGAGATCTATTATTTTTTGATAATTATAAGAAAAGATAAGATCTGGTAGTAAAGCTACACCAAATTTGCTTTTTTTTTTTTTTTTTTTTTTTTTTTGGGGGGGGGGGGTGGGTCAGCACTTTGGGGACGGTTTAAGGGAATAATATAAAAAGAATACGTAGGGTAAAAAAACTTTCGGGAAACCCAGAACCGGCGCCCTCGCCCATTGAACGGAGTGAAACTACGATAAAAGAGGGGGGGGGGGGGGGGAATGGCACCGAGAGGTGAAGGGAAGAGAATCCAAGGGAGCCGGTAGATAGGCAGCTCGGGATGGACATAGGCTCAATGATTCCTGGAAAGAAAGGACCCGGGTGGTAACCCCCGGCCGGCGGCCCCCCTAGTATATAATAATAATAATAAAAAACCCTCCGCTCGACAACAATAATTTACAAAAACAAAACAAAAAAGAGCAACAAAAAGTTCACAACACTGCTCTAGGCCTCGGTTGCTACGTCTTTATCTACGTCCGGAGGGGGGGTTGAACGCTCACAAGTTCGGTACAGAGGGTGAGCTCTATACCGCTGGGCCACGTCCAACCCCATGTTTATCTTCTTTCCTTTGCTACTGTTAGCTCTATGGGGGGGGCTCGTAGCTTATATTGTAACAGAGCTTAGTACGGTATGCTCTATGCTACATGTAGTTAGTACGGGGTGAGCGATTGAATCGTGTTATAGGCCGGCTAAGGTACTGGGCATGCAACGCCGGACGTTTTTTGTGAGGCTGGCCATGCTATGGGGGAGCTCATGCAGGAGACTGAGGAGCTCGGTCATGGAGTGGATTTAGTATGTGCCTGTATATGCACAACCTGGTCCACAATGTTATGGACAATTGTTTGCAATTGTGATGTAAGTACCTGTGCATGGCTGCTTTGGGTGTGTCGTCATGGTCTACACAAATGTACACGTAGCTCTATGTATGTAGCTAGCTAGGTAGTGAGGCTTCTTCCCCCTGAGCCCCACGTACCCGCCGGCGCGGGTGTCACATCCCGGCGGGCGGCGAGTGATAATCTATGACTACATGTACATAGTAATGATCCAGGTCGGCCCCGTGTGAGTATCTGTCCGTAGGCTACCAGCACGAATGAAAAGACTGGACCTATTCCGTCTGTTCCTAAGTTCCTTCACTCGTGTTTGGTATCCATGGCTGGTCGTTGCGGCCATAAGTAATTATAGCTGTGCACGTGGACGACTACATGTATTTCCCCGTGATTGAGCATTAATGTTCATTGTCATCGAAGGGTTAGGGGTTCTGCTTAATTCATCGTGACAGTAGGCTACGTATGTTACAACTGTAGACTTATAGCAACAGATAGATGGCGTGACAACTTGTCCTCAGTTTTGTTTCTGTATAAAGATAGATGATCGAGTGGTCTATCAATACATCACCGTTCGTCTCTTCTCTCGACCAGTCGTTAGTGTTTTGTGATAGACATGATCGGGACACGCACGGCCTTAGAGTAATCTACACTGCCAAGGTTAAGTATCACTTCCAGCGCAGCATCCACCATGGGCGAGTGGCAGAGCTCCCCCGAAATGGATGCCCCCACCTGCCCGACCGGCCAGACTTGACTTGACGCTGAGCTAACCGGTCACCTGATTGACGTGCTGGGAGAGGGGATTTGAGCTCTTCAACCTCGACGCTAGCTCCACGGAGTAGGTACAGTGTTGCATCCCGACCACCACAGAGAACCGTCAGCCACCGTCTGCCACCGCCCGCCACGCCAAGACCTATGTTGCCCGCCTCCCTCGCCGCCGAGTCGGCTGAAATCGACCGCCTCCTCGCCCTGGGCCGCATCGAGCCGTCATCGTCGCCCGCCGCCGCGCAGACCTTCTTTGTCAACAAAGCCTGCACGGAATGCCACCGCTGAGATGCACATGCGGCAAGAAGGCGCACGAACGCCGATGTGTGATCGACTACGGCCCGCTCAACGCAGTGACAGTGCAGACCGCCTACCCACTGCCGCCAATGCCGGACCCCCCGCTGCCGGACACAACCTGTACACCAAGCTCGACGTAGTCAACGCACCCGACCGCATCAGGATGGCCGCGGACCACGCCTATAGACAAAACGGCCTTCATCTGCTCCCGCGGTCGCCGGTACCGGTGGAACGGTCATGCCGCCGTTTCGGCCTCAAGAGCGCGCCCCGCCACGTTCCAACGCATGCTCGTCGATGGGTTCCTCACTCGCCCCCGCCCCACGCCTTCTGCCGCGTGCTCGCGGACGACTGCATCGTCTGGGCCGACTCACTCGCCCGCCGAGATGGTTTCTCGCACACACGCACCGCTCTGTCCCTGTTCCGTGACGCCGGCCTCTGCTTGAGGATCTAGGGGATGCCGGCTGCTTCGACGAGGCCACGGTCCACCTGGCTCGGTCACGTGATCTCCGCCCCGAGGGTATGGCCACAGACACCGCCGCCAATTGCAAGCTCAAGGGCATCGTAGACTATCCGGTGCCGGCCACTGGCCAACGCTGCGAGGGATGACGCTCTGGAGGTTTTCGGAGAACTCGCGGGGGACTGCAGAGCCGCGTTTCGGAGTGTCCGGGATGCTTTCGCCGTGTACGACCCCGCCAACAAGCCTGTTCAGCTGTTTTGAACCGGGTGGGGATGGTAGCGCGCCCTGATCATCAAGTCGTTGCAGTATCTGTTGTAGATTATACCCTTTATCCTTTTTTTTTTTTTTTATCGTGGAATAAATTAGGAGACTGTTCCGATTTCTAACCTCTCCAGAGGCCGGGGAAGGGAAGTGGGGTGCCCGTTTTGCTACCATGTGTTATTTGTAGATAGAGCACGTACGTATACCGAATTAAGACTGTGTCTTTTTAGTTTGCCCTTTTCCGTTAAATTTTATTTTATTTACAACCGTTTTTGTTATACAATAACTATAAAAAGGAGTACTTTGTTGATTTATCAATCATCCAATACAATTCTCCGCAGTCTTTTTACAAAATGTAAGTTCACCCCACCCAAGTTCCCCCGAGTGAGAACCTGTGATGCGTTGCTTTGCAAGGTCAGGGAGGGTGAGAGAGAAAAAGAAAAAAAAGAAGTAAAATCTATCATTGCAAGCTCATCTATAAATTTTTTTGAAAGGAAAAATGTCTATATAGCTATGTCTATAGCTCTAGGACGGTCACCAATGACCGATTTTATCCACTCTACCCACCATCAACTTTTGAAAGCAAATCTATAACTTTTTTGAACAAAGGAAAAGGCCTATGTCTATAGGACGTCCAACAGCGACCATTTTTTCTCCTTCTCCTGTTCCCCACGACACTATCCACCGCCCACTATCTCCTCCACCACCAAAAGAAGCCCACCCTCACTCACTCACTCCGACAACACCAACGCCTCCAAAATGCGGTCCAAATAATAAATCCTATACTGCTGCCTCCCAATCCACGTCTCGCTAAAAAAGAACACATACGCCCTCAACCACACAAACACGCCCATCAGCACACACGACCCCCCGGCCACCACCAACACAAACACCCCACACCCAAACGCCGCCCTCTGAATGCCCACGCTCCCCGCGCCATACTGCGTCGCAAGCACCGCCTGCATCGCCGTCAGCACCACGGTGAAATACACAAACGTGAAGAGCAGCCACTCGTGGCTGATGGTGTCGAGCAGGAACTTGTAGCGGTGGTCGCCCCAGTGGAACGGCTCGCAGGCGTGCATCTCGTAGAGCAGGTTCAGCCGCGTTAGCCGCAGCTCGCCGTAGTCGTAGCGCTGGCTCAGGATCATGCCTGTTGTGTTGAGGACGATGTCGGCGGAGAAGTCGCACCATTGGTTCCAGGTGACGCTGGCGGGGATGAGGTTTTTTTCTTGCGCGATGGCGAGGTCGCTTTCGTGGCGGATGAGCTTTGTGTAGGACTTTAGGAAGCCGCAGGCGCTTGCGTAGAGGTCGCTGCTGGCGGTTGTGCTGCCGGGCGGGGCGGCGGCGGCGGCGGTGCAGATTGCGTGGGTGAAGAAGTCGTGGTGGAGGAGGAAGGTGGGGATGGGTTTTAGGTAGAGCTGTTTTCCCTCCCAGCAGAGGTGGAGGTCGATCTTTTCTGCGAGGACGATCTCGCGGCCGGCCATGAGTTGGCGGTGGAGGGGCGCTCTTGGACGTGGCGGGGCTTTGTGGTGCGGAGGTAGGGGGCGATCTTTGTGATGCGGTCGACGGAGAGCTCTTGCGTGAGGAAGGTGGTGAGGGTGGTGGAGGGGTGGAGGGTGGGGAGGGTGTAGGGGGTGCGGCGGCCGGTGGTGGGGTCTTCGGGCGTGGCGAGGAGGGCGTGGTGTGCGGAGTAAGGGGGGGTGGGGAGGGTTTGCTCGTATTCATCCTGGAGGGGGTTAGTGGGTGTGTTGGAGGTGGGGGGAGGGGGGGACTTACGGGGGTGGGGGTGGAGGCGTACTGGAGCGGGAGGGTGTTTCTGATGGGGCGAAGCTGCTGGAGCGGGAGAGTGTGCCTGGGGCAAAGGTGCTGGAGCGGGAGAGTGTGCCTGGTGGTGGAGGGGTGCTGGAGCGGGAGGGCAGCGGGGTTGCTGGAGACATCTGGGTGGGTGTAGTGGGATTAATTGAGATCGAATGCCGCTACCAGAGTGGATATCGTTATAATTGTTGGCTTTTATTGAGATTGAGTGATAATACTACTGCCGGAGTAGCTATCTATATATAAAACAGCTGCTGTCTATCGAAACCAAGTAGTAATAAAACTACCGGAGTAGATTGCAGCTGCTGCTGGTTATCGAGGCCGAATACCACTACCAGAGTCGATATTGTATAACTATCGTTGTTTGTTGAGGTTGGGTAATGGTGCTACTGCCGGAGTAGATGTTGTTTAAATGTTGTTGATGATCGAGGTCGAATAATCCCACTTCCAGAGCAGATGTATAGTTGCAAATGCCCTCTTTTGTTGGACCGAATACAATACCACTACCGGAGTCGATATTGTTTAACTGCTAGCGCTGAGTATCGAGACCGCACAATACCACTACCAGAGTGTGAGTGTCGCTGTAATTGAGTAATAATCCTACTGCCGGAGTAGAGTCGATGCCGTTGTTGTCTGCTGAGTCGCTGCAGACTATATATCGAATTCGAAGCAATACAATGCGATCCGTTGTAGCAATTGCAAACTCGTCGTCGTCAGCCACAAAAACTCTCACTCTTCACTCACCTTTTGAATCTCTGCTAGCTGTCCTGTTTACTGATCCCATTATTCCACCCCACATACCCTCTATATATATCCCCCACCACCGCTCCATCCCCCACCACCAGCCCCACCATTGATCCGCCGCTTGCAATCCACTCCGCTCCCAACTCCGTCCACGTCGCTCACTGGTGCGAAAAGATTCCAATCCCGCCCAAAGGAGCCACGCCGATAGGGCCCAGCTGTTGCACCCACCCCCTGGCTGCGCGTCTCGATTCCGTTGTTTTATTGTACATGGTAGCTTAGGTTATGGATGGATACCTTTTTGATTTTCTCCTTCTCAGACTCTCACTCAGGTACCTACCTACCTTACTTAGCAAAGCAGGAGGGGAGCCTACACGAAACATGTTGTAGGTATTGATTGTACCTACCCGAAGCAGCCCCCAGCGCGATTGGGCGTCCCAGAAGGGGAAGTGCAGTGGCTGTGCAGCCGAGGGGGTGCTGAGGTCGCGGACCAATCAGGGCGCCGGACGTCATGGGTATGGCTACCTAGCTACCTGTCTGCTAGTAAGCAGAAGTTGGTACTTGTGGGTGAGTGCTAGGGGGAAGTAGAGGAGAGGAGCGGTGAAAGGGTCTGGAGGGGGAAAATCGAAGACGTGGTTAGGCTCGGGTGGCAGTACATTGCCGTCATAGCGTGTCACTCGACGCGAAAAGCACTACTCTCGCGTGGATTGCTGGGGGAGTGAAACGGGGGGCTTAGTGACGGGCCGACAGACTGACTGCCCTACGGACCCGATACTTTGTATCCTACTACTACTGCTATTGATCTACTAACATGTAACTAAGTAGCTGTCGGGGAACGCCTAACTGACTGCTGAGAAGATTCCCAACCAGCCAGTCGGCCCCCTAGTACTTTACCCTACCCACTCCCTCCCCTCCGTCATGGTCACTCCCCCCTCCGTCACTCTATGTCATTACCTATAACCTGACATCAAGAACCGGAAGAGCCTCAACAACCTACCTACAGCTGTCAAACTGTCTAACTCTAACCGCCTTACTCAAGAAAAAACACGAGCAGCGTTATACCCACCCACCGTACCCCGGTCGCCGCAAATCGATGCGCAGCACCGCTATAGTACTAGCTCTGTTCCACCCGCGAGTGACAAGCGATGACCCACCCACCAGATCAACTATGTCATCGCTACATATAGCAACTAGCACAGCCCCCATTGCTGCCCATCATAACTGTGACATGTTGGGCTTCACATTCGTGCTCAGCGCTGTTGGAGCGTTCTTCTTCTTCTTCGTGCTCAGTAGAGTTACAGTACAGTACAGTTGCTGGCTGTAACTACATGTAGATCATTAAGGTTCCTCCAGGGCGGAATTTTGTGGGGCCGGCGCACCCTTTTGGCGGTTTGATCTTCCGAAGATCTGGATCGCGAGGAGTACATACATAGAAATAGAGAGAGGCATAATGCCTTGGCGCCCCTTACGTCTGTCTGTCTGTCTGTCTGTCTGTCTGTCTAATTCCGGCCCTACCCGATATCTCGCGACGAACCCCATCCAGGAGCCATATACCGGTGAGAGTGGACACGGCGCTAGCTAGCAACGAGATAAAAACCTAACCCTCCGCAAAACTGGAGCGGTTTTTTTTTTCTTCGTAAATCTTTACTGGTTTGGGGTCTAGCTCCATATCCAGTGTACCACCAGCTGACTAACCCCCGCCTCCCCGCCCGCCCCCGATTCGCCGAGTGATAATGTATGAACCATACCAACCCAACCATTCCACCTACACCTACACCTACACCTACACGCCAACCACACACCGTGAGATTCGTACGCATTATATTTTTGTTCATCTACCGGCCGACATTACACCCCGCACGCGCGCACATATTATGCTAACTAGCTAGCTATGTAGGTAGCTAGCTAATACAGCTACCGCTAGCTATCCTGTAAGTACTAGTACATCCATCCGTTCAACTTTTTATATCCCGAGCAGCCCACACCCACAGCACAGCACAGCACACAGCACATATCATGACCACAAATAGAAAAAACGCCAAACATGCACCACACATCCATCCTCAAAACTAAAACAAGCGCACATCCTCAAAACGCACATCCTCAAACACACACACACAAAAAACATATATATAACTTGAAAAAAGAAAAAAAAGAAAGAAAAAAAAAGAAATCTAAATACCCTGCACTTTCGCATAACTCGGCGGCTTCAACCTCCTCCTGACAGCCTTAGCCACCCACGGCGGTATCAGACTGATCGCGCTGATGACGGCCACCCTCCACACGAACCCTATTGTGACAATGTAGCTCAGGTCGAAATACTCGCCCAGCAGCGGCATGCTGGCGAAGAATAGGACTGCCGTGCCGACTTCTGCAAAGATCATGTATGCGTGCCTATTTTCCACACCACAACCACTATTAGCATTCACCCAGTCAAGTAGAGAAAAGGGGAAGGGGGGTGGGGGGATATATACCAAGTCGTTATCTCGAGCGCAACCATAATCAGCTCATTCAAGATCAGCACCGTAAACGAGACCGATACCATCCGCTCAAAGTTCTCATCCCCCAGTCCGACCAGTATCTGCGACAGTCCCTGTATGATGCTCCCCTGATAGATACTAACAAGCACCCACACGCCAAAGCTACGATAACTCAGACTGCGCCCCTCCGTAAGCTCCTTATACAGCTCCGGATACAGCTCGGCGAGGCGCTCATCCACGTCTCTATCCAGCACCAGCGAGAACACCGGCGCCATCGTATACACACTAGCATAGCCCACGAGCAGCCACCCCTGGTACAGCGCAATGGGCTCGAAGCGGCTCGCGATGCTGAACATGGTCTGGCACACGCTGATGACCAAGCCGCGGTGCATGACAAACTGCGCGAGCTTGGCCGACCGCTTGTACGAGTTGCGCCCGTGCCACACGAGCAGCTTGGTCAGGTGGCAGAACTGCTCGACGGAGAAGTCGGCGGCGAGCGAGGCCTGCCGGCCCTCTTTGCCGACGATGCCGACGCCGACGTCGGCTGCTTGGATCATGGAGACGTCGTTGCCGCCGTCGCCGATGCAGCAGATGCGTTTTTGCGTGTGTGTGCGGATCAGGCGGGCGATGTCGGCTTTCTGTGTCGGGGTGCAGCGGCAGGCGATGACGGCGGGGAGTTGCACAGCGAGGGTGATGAATTCGGTCTGGTATACGGAAAGAAATAGCGCCAGTGATTCTCCGTCGATTAGGAGACACGAGTCGGTCTTGTTCCGAAGAAACTCCAGTGCGTCGTAGGCAAGATCCTTCCGTTTTACTATTGCATCACAGGTCAGCACTCGCCACCACCCCCGAGAACGAAAAACCTACATTTCGCAATTGTATGGACATACTGTCCCCTGGCCACCAGCTTCGCACTAACCGCCACACACCGCGCCGTCTCCACCTTATCACCCGTCAACATCCAGATCTTAATCCCCGCATTCCTCAGCAGCTCCAACGAGCTCTTCACATCCTTCTGCAGCTTATCCTCCACGCCCGTCACGCCCAGCAGCTCCAGATCCCGCTCCAAATACTCCTCCACCACCCTCGCCATCTGCGTGTCCCTGCTATGCAGCTGCAAACTGGCGGCCTTGTAAGCAGCGGAGAACTCGGCATACTTTGAGTGCGAGAGCTTTTTGCGCCCCACAACGAGCGTTCGCAGCCCCTCGCGCGCCATGTTGGAGCACTCCTCGTCCAGCCAGTCGTTCGACTGCACAATGGGCGACATTGTCGTATCGGCACCCTTCTGATAGAACCATATATCGCCGCTTGGCTCGTCCGGCCCGCTGAGCAGGTCGGTGGTGTGGCTGTTGACAATGAACTGCACAACAATACCCATCCTCTTCCCCTCACTCGTAAACGGGAACACCTCCAAGATCTTGACACGGACAACAACCTCACCAGTCGAC